TGAGGATGTTTTACTTCAGTCAGGAACTCTACAGTGCAGAGAGAAGGGTTGAAGCTACAAAAGGGGACAGTCGATGATGATCAGGTCACCAGCGGGTCCAAGAGCCTGGAATTCAAAATCACGTAAGCAGCTAGCTCCAGATAAATTCCTTTGATCTCTAAGGGACAGTGCAGACTGAAACTGATTTGCTGGTTTACAAGCAGAAAGTAGAGGGAGTTTCCATCTGTGCTTATGTAAAGTTTAATTCTAGCTTTACATTTTGTGATTATATAATATAGTATGATAATAACAGCAAACTTTCTAGAGTGATTTCTATGCAGTAGTTACATTTAGTAGTTAAGTGTAGGTTCTCTATAGACAAATTGCCTAGGTTTGAATCCAGAGATAAGCCCTTCCTAGCTATATGACTGTAATCTTGAGCTGGTTTTTAATTCCTGTCGGTGGATACCTCATAGGATTGAGTGAGTATATACATAGTGCTTAGTGTTTGTTTGATATGGTCAGTGAGCCCTAAATGTTAATGGTAGTCACCATCTTCAGCATCAGGCGCTCGCTCCCCATAGCCTTTGCTAATGTACTGAAGGGATCTAGCCCTGTTTCACTGATAAAGCAACAGACTCAGAGCTTAAATGAAATGTTTGAAGCCATGTGGCTAAACAGATGAGAGAGCCAGCTTTTAATCCGTGTCTGCCCAGCTTCAAACCCATACCTTTACATATTCTGAAAGCAACTCATCTGGAATATTTCTTCTACAGTTATCTCAAAACTTGAGATGTCAGAATTTATCTTATGTACAAATGTGAAGTAAATGAGGTTGACTTTTCATAGCTTCTGCTGACCCTGGGGCCTGCTCTTTGCAGCAGACTTGTCCTGCCTCGCTACCTCCCACCCTTTCCTGCATACCTGCTCATCTTATGCTTAACAGTTTCCCAAGCCTACACCTTTCTCTTTCATTCTTAGTTTGTGTTTGTCATTTTTTCCTGTTCTTAAAGATTTATCTAGTAATTTATCTTTTGTTTGAAAGGCAGAAGGGCATGGTATGTGTGTGTGTGAGAGAGAGAGAGAGAGAGGGAGAGGGAGAGAGAGAGAGAGGAGGAGAATCTCAAGATCTTTCATCTGCTGATTCACTTTCTAAATGCCTGCAACAGATGTGGCTAGGCCTCGTTAAAATCATGAACTCAGGGCCAGTGCTGTGGCCTAGTAGGCTAAGTTTCTGCTTGCAGCAAAAGCATCCCATATGGACACTGGTTCATGTCCTTGCTGCTCCTCTTATGATCCAGCTCTCTGCTTAGGCCTGAGAAAGCAGTGGAAGATGGCCCAAATGCTTGGTTCCCTGCACCAGCTTTGGATCTGCCCAGCTCCAGCCGTTGTGGCCATTTGGGGAGTGAACCAATCGGTAGAAGCCACACTCTCTCTCTCTCTCTCTCTCTCTCTCTCTCTCTCTCACACACACACACACACACACACACACACACTGCCTCTCAAATAAATAAATAAAATCTTAAAAAAATCAAGACCTCCATGTAAGTCTCCACTTGGATGGCAGGGACTCAAGTACTTGAGCCATCACCTGTTGCCTCTCAGGATGTGTATCAGCAAGAATCTAAATTGTAAGCTGAAAAGGGACTTGAACCCGGCACTCCGATATGGGCGGTGGGTGTTCCGTGTAGCATCTTAACCTCTATACCAAATACCTACTGCCTTTTTTTTTCCTGAACATTTGCTTTAGAGGTTGTGTGAGTTCAACCTGAAATTGTTTTTATAGTGAATGGAGGCATAGTCTCCTCACATCTTCCCTGGAATATTGTCTAAAGAATGCAGTGATGTAAATTCTGTGACCAACTTTCCTATAAAACATCTCTATGGTATGTATCTTCAATTTGTCCAATTGTGACAAATGTACATCCTCCCTTATCTCACTTCTAGTCTGGTTTCTTTTTTGTCTGCTCTATGATCAAATATTCTTCCTTTTCTGTCTCTAATGCCTGGGATTCTTTCAGCTTCCTTTTTTTAAAGCTTAGAAACTTTCCTCAATGTTATTTAACTTGGAAACTTTTATCACAGCTGGCTGTTTAATGAAACATTTTATTCTGCACACAGAACTCCTGAGAACATCATCAGACTATATGTAAAGAACATTGAGTTCCATAGTAGGAAGGTGTTATGTACGTTTACTTCAAAAATGAATTGTAATCATAATAGTATGTTATGCTACATTTTTTGCAAGAATTCAAATGCTGTAACTTCAAAATAGAATTGTTAGAGGTACTGCTGTGGATTTAATGTATTTTTTGTGATTTAGAATAGCTTCTTGTAGAGTCTCCTTGACCTATTTTAACCTGCCTTTTTTCATGCTGTTGCATCATCCCAGTGGTGCAGGCAGTTTTTACAGAAGGGATAACAGTTGATTTTGACTCGACAGGAGTTGGCTCTGGTGAATCACTAGGTTTTTTTTTTTTTTTCTTTAACAGTGTTGTTGGGATATAGTTTATATTCCACAAAATGCACCCGTTTAAGCAGTGAAATTCAATTATTTCTGCTATTACAGTCTACAGACATCATAGGAATCTGCTTTTAGTATTCTTCATCATCCTAGGGAGTCCCATTGAACTTCATTGTATCAGTCCCCACTCCTTCCTCTTGAGCCCCAGGCATGTCCTAATCTGGTTCCTAAACCTATAAATTTGCCTTTTATAGAGATTTCATCTGTGTGAAACTATCTATTCTGTAGTGTGTTCTGTATCTGACTTCTTTCATTAAGAGAAACATATTTGAGAAGCATACGTATGCTCTAAATTGTATCTTTTATTTCTGAATACTATTCCACTTTATGTACATACTGTTTTTATTTATCCATTAACCTTTTTATGGGTATTTGATTTATTTCTGATATGGGGCATGGTATGAATAGTGCTGCAAACATTTATAAATGGTTTTTATGTAGGTGCATTTTCATTTTACTTGGGTGGATTCCTAGGAAATGGAATCGCTGAGCTGAGTGGTATGCTTATGTTTAACTTTTTAAGAAATTGATACTATTTCCCAAAGTGCTCATACCATTTTATATTCCCACCAACAATGCACCTTGGTATTGTCTTGATTACACCCATTCCATTGGATATGTGGTGATATCTTACTGTAGTTTTAACATGTAGTTCCTTGCTGAGAATGATACTGAGTATATTTCCATGTGCTTATGAGTTTTTGTCAAAGTGTATATTCAAACCTTTTGCTCATTTTAAAATTACATTGTCTTTTTAAATTATTGACTCGTAAAAGTTCTTTTCATATTCTGGATAAGTTCTTCATCAAATATATACTATGCAATATTTTCTCCCAGTTTCTGTCTTGGTTTTAAAGTCATTTTTTAGTTTGTTTATTTAAAAGGGGAGGGGGAGAGGGAGAGAGAGATCCATCCATCTACTGATTCACTCCTCAAATACCCACAACAACCAAAAATGGACTAGACTGAAGCCAAGAGCCTGGCCTTCATCCTGGTCCTCCATGTGGGCGACAGGGACACAAGGACCTGTGCTATCACTTGCTGCTTCCCAGGGCGCCCGTTATCAGGAAGCTGGATCAGAAGTGGAGGAACTGAGACTGGAACACAGGCATTCTAATACGGATACAGGTGTCCTAAGAAGTGACTTCACCAGTTGTGGCACAGTGCCCAACCCTATTTTGTTTTGAAATTACAAAGTTTTTTTTTTTTTTTTTACTTAGATAAAGTGCATTGTGTTAATTTGTTTCTTTTATTATTCATAGTTCCGGTGGCATATATAAGTGCTTTTTGACTAATCCAAGGTCACTAAGATTTTTCGTCTATATGGGAATATTATCTTTCAGTTCTTTCATTTAGGTCTGTGGAAATTTTAAGTTTATTTTTATATATTCTGTGAGGAAGGAGTTTAAATTCTTTTTTTGGCATATTACTATCAAATTTTCCCGTGATCAGTTTTTGGTAAGACCATCTTTCCCCCTTTTATTGTCTTGTAGCTTTGTTGAAAAGCGTTTGAAAGCATTTCAATACTCTCTATTCCATGATTCAGAGTTAGTTTGTCAGTATCTTCAGAAAACCAACAAGGATTGTGGCTGGGTTGTTCTGAACCCAGAGATGAATTGGGGGAAAATCGACACCTTCACCAGACTGAATCTCCAATGGATGAGCATTGGATGGCTCTCCATTTATCCAGTCTTACTGACTCGTTTCATCAGTGTTCCATAGATTTTAGCATATGGATGATACACATATTTTATTAGATTTATGTATGGTCTCTTAATATTGCAGTGTGTTAATATAATGATACCTTAAAATTTAGTTTATTTCTCGTCTTTTTTCATCATTGCAAGTGATGCTCAAATGCTGTCAGCTGAATTCTATCATACTGTGTTTCAATCTAGCCAACTAGAGTAGTTTCTAATCTTTTTCAACTGTGACTTCCAAAAGCTAGAGCGATGAGCCATTTTTGTTGTTTTCACTCAGTTGACTTATCTGCAGGTGTTTATTAAGACTGTCCTGTCGGCCGGCGCTGCGGCTCACTAGGCTAATCCTCCGCCTTGCGGCGCTGGCACACCGGGTTCTAGTCCTGGTCGGGGTGCCGGATTCTGTCCCGGTTGCCCCTCTTCCAGGCCAGCTCTCTGCTGTGACCAGGGAGTGCAGTGGAGGATGGCCCAGGTGCTTGGGCCCTGCATCCCATGGGAGACCAGGAAAAGCACCTGGCTCCTGGCTCCTGCCATGGGATCAGCGCGGTGCGCCGGCCGCAGCGCGCTGGCCGCGGCGGCCATTGGAGGGTGAACCAACGGCAAAGGAAGACCTTTCTCTCTGTCTCTCTCTCTCACTGTCCACTCTGCCTGTCAAAAAAAAAAAAAAAAAAAGACTGTCCTGTCTGTCTTTCCACGTTATCAATGATACTGTGACCATATAGAACACACAGTCCTTCTGAAGGGGTTTGGACTGCCAGAAAGTGCGAGCGTGTAACCTCCCTGTTCCTCTTCTACAGGTGTCGCAGCATCCCTGGAGGTGTCAGAGAGCCCTGGGAGTGTCCAGGTGGCCCGGGGTCAGACCGCAGTCCTGCCTTGCACGTTCACTACCAGCGCTGCTCTCCTTAACCTCAATGTCATTTGGATGGTCATCCCTCTCTCCAATGCTAACCAACCTGAGCAGGTACTTCTGATCTGTTCTGTGCTACCTTTAAGATAGGAAGAGAGAGAGGAAAGCATCGTGAGTAAACATTTGATTCCTAGAATACAGTGACATTTGTAGTGTGCCTGTGTGGCTTTAAGTCCCACCATCTTTACTGTTAGTTAAATAGCAGCAAAGGCTATCTTCTTTATTTAGAAATGCATTTTTTTAAAAAATTAATAAATATTAAGGGGATCCTCCTGAAAATTTTATTTAGCAACTTGGAATTTTTTCAGAAACTTTGCTAACAGGAAAAATACCAAGACAGAAAAAGCAAAGTATGGGACTGGCACTAACAGCACGAGTGTGCTTGTTAAAGATAGTGATTGGGAAGGAATTAATATTAGGTAGTAGTACTTGATTTTACAAGTATTAAAAAGATAGGCATACTAGCTAATCTCAGAGACCCTTATGTAAATTTGAGTGTGTACACATAAGAATGTCAATGCAAATGCAAGCTACTCCCAGTAAGCTGTATCAATTACAGGAAAGAGACCCATAGTTTTTAGTACCCACTGCAGAAAATAATGCTCAGAAAATTAGTGAATTGTAATAATGGCTACACTTTTATTTATAATGATATCTTATTTATTTTGTGAAGTTTTCCTGCTTCAATAAGCTTATTACAACCTAAAAATATTTAATAAGATCCATGGTTTGATAAGAAATCCAATAGAAGCTGCTTGTTTTCTGCTAAGTGTGCGGTTTTGTGGTTACACTGTGCCTTCAAGATCATTTTGTTCAACTTCATCAATTTAGGAGTCAATGTTGGAGTGAAAGAAGTGAAAAAAGAACTTTAGTTCACCAAAGATTTATAGGTTGACTGGAGTCCCTCATTCTTAGCCCAAAATGGTGTGGCTTTTTGCTGTACCTTTCAGAGTCCTCAGCTATCGTTAATTAACCAAAGTTAACTAACAATAGGAATTGACATTAAAATAATGCAACTCTTCTCTTTATATGTTTATGTATATTCCCACTGTAACTATAGTCTATCATTTTATAATATACCAAACATGAGAATGGAGATGCTAATATTCTTAACACTTTATATTGAAATTTTGAACTGGTAACAATACTGATGGGTTGATAGTGAGGTAGCATAAGGACATTTTCTATGTTATGATGTATTAGGTAAAGAAGAAATGTTATTTTAATTTTAAATGCAAGAATGTGGAGCCTCAAGGTACCTATGGACAGGTGCTGTGGCAAAAAGTTGGTGGCAACTCTCATATTCGAAACAAAATCTCCCAGCAATTAATGCAGCATTGTCCAGTACAGTGTACCGTGCAGTTCCTGTTAAATGTTGAGGAGGGATTTTGTATTCACTGTGCTTTCTTTTGCAGGTCATTCTGTATCAGGGTGGACAGATGTTTGATGGTGCCCCCCGATTCCATGGTAGGGTGGGATTCACAGGCACCATGCCCGCCACCAATGTCTCTATCTTCATTAATAACACTCAGCTGTCAGATACAGGCACCTACCAGTGTTTGGTCAACAACCTGCCAGACAGAGGAGGCAGGAACATTGGGGTCACTGGTCTCACAGTGTTAGGTGAGTGACAGAAATGTTCCAGGTACCTGGGGCTCCACTCATGAATCTACTCTGAAGCCTATTTAACTCCTGCCCTTCCTTCCTCTATGCCCTGTTTGCTTTGCTGTTTCCCTTCTGTCTTCCCTTAGCTCCGTTCCTTCTGCTTTTCCCTGCTTCCTAAACGTGATCTGCCCATCCCTCCTTTCTTCATGTCAGGGAGTTGTTAAAAATTACTTCTTAAGTGGCTTTCTGAAACTGGGGGAAAGTGGTATAAAACACTATTAAAAGTAGCCTCTTGGGTCCCTTAAGCTTCTATAAGACAGAACTTACTCTTTAGAGTTACTTATTGTGGAAACGGAGCAGCACAGGTTTCAGCACAGGGAGGAATAATGCTGTTACTTCATGTCTTAGGCAGCACTGGGTAACATCAGGGCTTTGACCAGTACCTCTTTGGACTCTCAAAGGTATTCTTGTCTGAACAGTAAATGATGTTATCACCTTCATACTGAGGCCAAGTAGATCAAGGGTCTTTTCCCAGGTTACAGAGACACTGGACAGTAATGCAGTTTAGAATAAACGTTAGACCTCCTTACTCAAACCATTCTTTCTGTTATGCCATGCTATTATAAATAATCAGTTCTGAACATGTTACTTCTCAGTTCCCTTGTCTTCAGTATCAAGCACTGCATTCCAAGGGGGGACTTGTGGCAGAGGGGGCTACGTTCAGTTCATTTGAGGAGATGGAGAAGGGGAGTGGTGAAGGTTGCTGTCCTTGACCCTCCTGCCGCTCAGCCTCCACCTCCACAGCCCTTGGCAAGCTGTTCCCCATCTTGTTTCCCATTTCCTTGTCAAGTCACTTGAGGATATAGACTTTGGGGAGTTCTTGCCACTTTTCCCTCTGTGAGTGGGAGGATGTTGTAACCCTCATGCCTTTTTGTCACAGTTTCAAACAGAGTAAGAAAAACAAGGACCAGTTTAGAAATTTCTATTTTCAAAGTCTTATTCATGGCAATGTATTGAAAATCGTATAGATTTTAAAAGACTCTGTCAGTACCAGTGGACTGAAATTTTGCTCTGATGCTTGTTTCTATAAAGTAACTGACTTCCTAAGTTATCCAAGCTTATGCATTTCTTCATTTTTTAGAGGACGATAAAAGAAAGCTTTAATTTACTTTAGGAAGTTAATTCTACCTCCAACAAAGTGCTGTGTGACATTGCAGTGGTGAAGTCAGAGGCAGTAAATTAGAGATGGTCTCACCCCCTCAGGCAGTTAGGATCCTCTGAGGTTTTTTTTTTGTTGTTGTTGTTGTTTTTTCACTCTTCCCATCTATACCCTTTCACTGTTCTCTCTTCCCCTACTGACTCTATCTCTTGAGCTTTTGTAGAAATATACATTCATTTTCTACTCATTCATTTTTGAAAAGGTGAACACATTTATGGAAAGTCAGTAGCATTACAAATGCATCATCAGTTGGACTTAAACTCTACATTTGACATTCTCCAATATGAGAGTTTAGGCTACAGACTTTGTTTTTAGTTTGATTTCCTTGTGTTTTAATATAAATCACCACCTTCTTGCTTTAGTGTGCTTTTGATACATTTTTGTTCCCTGTCTTTTATGTCCTTATCTTAATGATTATAAAGTGTCCATTCCTTACTATCAGCTTCCGCCTTCTTTGAATACTGTTCTCTCTTTCCCTACCATTAAGCAGAATGGGCATAAAGCAGGGCTGTCTGGGTTTCTTTTTATTTTTTGGTAAGTAACAAAAAGGTTGCTAAGGTGATCTTGCCAGGAATATCCTGGAAGGTGAGTGCTGTTATACCTCGAAATCTCTGAAAGTGACCTCATTCAGCAGTGTTTTTAAAGACCCTTTAAGAATTCAGTGGTGGAAATGGAATGAAACTAAGACCATAAGACACTTTGGAAATGTAATAAATCCAAACGTGTAGCCCCTTCTACATATCTGGTCCCTGTTGCTTGATGTTGCCAGTCCTGCACCTGTTGCAGACCCTGTGAATTGGTGCATGATTGTCCTCTGCTTTCAGCCATGAGTCTGTCTCCTGGCACACGTTCTAAAGACAGTGTTATCCGTGGTTCCAGTGTAGTGAATATTGATGTCTCCTTCTTCATCCCTTGCCTCACAGTAAATGTGTCCTTTATTGCTTACTTTTCCTGTTATAGTTCCCCCTTCTGCCCCACACTGCCAAATCCAAGGATCCCAGGATATTGGCAGTGATGTCATCCTGCTGTGTAACTCAGAGGAAGGCATTCCTCGGCCAACTTACCTTTGGGAGAAGTTAGACAATACCCTCAAACTACCTCCAACAGCCACTCAGGGTATGTACAGTACTGCTTTATCCATTTTATTAGTTATCACAGAAAATTCTGAGATTCACAAAGTAATCAACTGTAGTAGATTTTGAAAAATAACATACCGTATTTGTAACTGCTAATAAAGCTTTGTGAATTCTTTTGTGCTTTTAGCTTTAAAGGAAATACAGCATTTTCTTTCTCTTCTTTATGTTGCCTTTATGAAAGACATCTAGCCCAGTGGTAACTACATATGAAAATTCCATTCTTTAGAGTGACAAGTTAAAATAGCTAAATGGTAGCTCCTCTGAGTTAGCTGTGAGACAATCACTGAGGTTTCTATCAGAGAATCTACTTCCTACTTGACATAAAACTTCTTGTTTTAGTGTGAAAAAACATCTGCCTAGTCGCAGTCTAATTAGAAGAGGAAGATAGGAAAGAGCCCAGGAAAAGGGCTCAGTTCACAGGAGATCCAGAAATTGATCACCAGATTGGTAACTATGGAGGAGATTTGAGCATCCTAGGTAGTTTCCTGCATGTAAGCTCAGTGTTTAAATTTTATTTGGAAGGAAATATCCTTTAAAAACTGAAGACATTTTAGAAAATAAATGGAAGAAATTACAGAATTACACATGCAATCTTCTGTGACAGGAAAATAAAATTTAATGATCTTGAATATTGCATCATATCTAAAATAGAAAATGTATCCTACAGCATTCACTGCCTATTTGCAAATCTCTTTTTAAGATTTATTTATTTATTTATTTATTTCAAAAGAATTACAGAGAGAAGGGGAGGGGAGCGAATGAGGTTTATTCAGTCCTCTGGTTCATTCCCCAGATGGCTGCAATGGCAATGGTTGGAGCAGGCTGAAGACAGGAGCTTCATCCAGGTCCGCCATGTGGGTAGCAGGGGCCCAAACACTTGGGCTGTTGTCCGCTGGTTTCCCATGTCATTAGCCGCAGGAAGCCAGATCAGAAGTGTAGCAGCCAAGACGCAAACCAGTTCCCATATAGAATGCCAGCATCTCAGGTGGAGTCTTTACCCAATGTACCACAATGCTGGCCTCTACGTATCTTAATTTATATGTGAAAAGTTGAATTTCACTTCTGGGTATATTTCTACATGAAATTAAATCAACATATTAAAGAGATCATTGAATTCCCTTGTTTATTTTGCAACACTGTTCATATTAGCCAAGATATGGAATCCACCTCAGTGTCCATCAGTGGATGAGTAGATAAAACAAATAAAGAAAATCTATATACACCAGATATCATTCAGCTATAAAAATAGTGAAATTCTCTCTTTTGTGGCAACATGGATGGGAGGAAGTAGAGGTCATTTTTCAAAAGTGTAATATGCCAGACAGGGGAAGATAAATACTGCATGTTCTCACTCATAAATGAAAGCTAAAAGAATTGCTTTCAAAGAAAGAAAGAGTATAATAGTGATTACTAGATACTAGGAAGGACAGGGAGAAGAGAAGACAGAGGTTGGTAACAGGTGCCAAAATACAGTTGGATAGGAAGAATAGTAAGTTCTAGTGTTCTGCAACACTAGTGACCATAGTTTACAACTCACTTACATTTTATGAAGAACTAAATGAGAGGAGCTTTCAAGATCCAAACACAGAGAAATGTAAGGATATGGAAATTCTGATTATCCTGATTTTATCATTGCATACTTTGCACATGTGTTGAATTGTCCTGTCCACTGTGGATAAGTGCTAATTTATATTTATATAAATATATAATACACAGCATTGGCAGTAATGGAGAGGCCCCAAACAACCTTAATTGTTCTTGGTAAGTTTGAATCATATTGATGGTGCATGTCTGTCATGGAAAAAAGATAGTCCTAAGTTGTATGAAGTTAGAAATACTGAAGAGCTAGCATTACAAGGCTTGAAAAAGCATACAAGCTTCCTTTAAGAAACCCAACAGAAATGTTGATGTACCTTCCCATTCATTTTTTAATTAGCCTAGCCCCAAATTAATTATTTTTAAAAGCTCCTTTCAACATAATAACTTCGGGTTACTTTAATGATGACTTCTGGAATACTGTTATTCCCTCCTGATTGTTCATTTCTACACATTTCAACCCCAATGTGGTCTAACTAGCTTTTTTTTGGACTGACTTATAAATTTCACCATTTTAAGTGACATGCTTAAAATAACTCCTGTCTTGAAATACCAAAAACTATATTCAACTTGCAGATTTTCCAGCAACTGTTTCTGTGACTGTTCACCTTTCTGGCTCCACGTTACTTTTTTTGTAAAACAGGGAGATTAACAGTATCATATTCAAGGTCCTCTGTAGCAGCATTAAGATTCCATGGTTTATATGTATAACATTTCTACAGAAGTTTGTATGGAGTTTGCAGTTACAAATAAACACTTGAATAGCAGCTGCTTGTAAGTTGAGAACCATCCATATTTGTTTCTGTGTAAGCGCATATCAGTCACATTTCTTGGTATCATCTTGGAACTTGAATATTCTTTGCTACTTTAATGAACTTGAATACCAATGATTAAAAACCAAATTGTCCAAATTCAAACTCTGCATTGATCATCAGAGTGTCTAGGACACCGTATCTATTGTAAAAATGCACATATTGAGTCTGATTTAATTTAAATTCACCTCTGATATTTATATTAATAAAATGAATCTCAAAGAAAAACGGTATTTTCTAAATCACTTAGATGAAGGTTTTAATTCAGGATGGATCCTTTCTGGAGACCTGATGTATAGCATGTTGACTATATTTAATAACACTATGTTGTGTGCTTGAGAATAGATATTAAAACATGTACACATAAGGATGGCTATCCAAGGATATATTAATTAGCTAGGTGTATATGTATATCCAAATATACCTAATTATATTGTATAGTATTCCATAAATATATACAAATTTTATTTGTCAATTATGCCTCAATTAATAGAAAGAAAACAAACTGAATTATGTGTAGGGTAGCTCCTAAACAAAGAATTATCCAGCCCAAAATTGTGGCATAAAACACGCTCACATTTCTGGAATAAAGTCTATTTGATTGTGATTTTTAGATATAAAATACTCTTTTAAGATTACTAATTTTTAATAGAATTTTTATATTAGTAATGAAAAGTGAATGATTCTTTTCTGCCTTCTGTTGTCCTGGTTCATTTTTAAGTCAAAATACTAACCAGTCTCATAAAGTGAGTGTGAGACCTTGAGGATCATCTGATGATTTTGTAGAATTATCTGTGAAAGCTTTTCCTTACTCTGTTTTGTTGGTAGATTTTTCATTCAGTTTCTCTATTGGTAGAGGTCTGTTGAGATTTTCTGCAATGTCTTTGGTCCAAGTTCACACATAGTGAAATGAAGTTGCTAATTTTCTCAATATGAAAGCACATGAGTGTCTTTAAGAGCATAGGTTCTGGAGTCAGAGGAATAGTATTGAATCCTGGGTCCAGGAGTTGCTAGGTATATGACCTTGTGTTTTAGTTTTCTCATTTTTTAAAAGATTTATTTATCTTTTTTGAAAGGCACAGTTACAGGGAGAGGGACAGAGACTGAGAGATCGTCCATCTGCTGGTTCACTCCCCAGATTACCACAATAGCTGGAGCTGGGCCGATCTTAAGCCAGGAGCCTCTTCCGGGTCTCCCGTGTGGGTGCAGGTGCCCAAACACTTGGGCCATTCTCTGCCCAGGCCATCACTGGGGAGCTGGATCAGAAGTGGCGAACTGGGACTTGAACTGGCATCCATGTAGGGTGCTAGCAGCACAGAGGCTTAACCCACTATGCCATAGCGCCAGCCCCTTAGTTTTATTTGTAAAATAGCAGCTACCTCCTGGTTGGATAGAAATGAAACAAAAACACATATAAAATTTTAATAACATCATTGGGCATATAGAAACACTTATTAAACATTAGGTACTTCTAATTATTATGATGTTATGAATTTTTTAAACACTTTATGCTCCTGTTCACTTCTCATATTGCTTATGTGTGCCTTCCCTCTTTATTTATTTAGTTTTTTAAACTCTATCTTGCTAAACACAGCTTTTGATTTCATTCATTCTCTTTTACAAGGATACTTCAAAAAGTTCACAGGAAATGTGTATTAGAAAAACTACATGGATTTCAGAATTTTTTGAACACTTAGTATATGCCAGGATGCTCTAGGAACTGTGGATACCTTGTTGAAGAAAGCTGCTATCCTTCCATTTGTGGAGCATACGTTCTAGTGGGCAGAGATTGAATATTATGGATCTGTAATTCGTGTAGTTTGTTACAACTATGTGATAAGTCCCATAGGGAAAAGCATATCAGGATAGAATAGATTAGTTGGAGGATGAGGAGCTGCAATTTTTCATAAGATACTTAGAGTAAGCTTCATTGAAAGGATGATATTCTAGCAAAGATTTAAAGATGATGAAGGAATGAACCATGTATGAGGGTGGAGAGCATTTCGGGGCAAAGGGGTTGGACAACTGAAGGTCCTGGGCAGCAGTGTGCCTGGTGTGTTTCATGGACATCAGAGAGGTGTGTCTGGGTGGAGTATGTAAGGCACTGTCCAGTTGCAGGTACTAGGAGATATTAATCAATTGCATATGAAACTTGTTAGTTACATTGTTCAGCTTTCTGTATCTTTGGCAATATTTTATATGCTGTGTCTATTTTATGGGAAAGACATGTTTCAATACCACATGGTATGATTGTGTGTTTATCAATTTGTTCTTGCAATTACAATAATTTTTCTTTATCCATCTTGAACAAGTGCTTGTAGGTTAATTATATCTCTTTGATTCTCTATGCTTAATATACTTTTTGCATGATTTATAGAGAGCCATCGTAATTTTCTTTAGTTATTTCTTCTTGGTGTGTTTCTATTTTATACTTCACTAGCTTTTAGCCTCCCATTCCTTAAGTTTTAGATACTTGTCTTTTAAGCAGTGTGTATCTGGATTTAGTCTTTTTTTTTTTTTTTTTGACAGGCAGAGTGGACAGTGAGAGAGAGAGACAGAGAGAAAGGTCTTCCTTTGCCGTTGGTTCACCCTCCAATGGCCGCCGCGGCTGGCGCGCTGCGGCCGGCGCACCCCGCTGATCCGGTGGCAGGAGCCAGGAGCCAGGTGCTTTTCCTGGTCTCCCATGGGGTGCAGGGCCCAAGCACCTGGGCCATCCTCCACTGCACTCCCTGGCCACAGCAGAGAGCTGGCCTGGAAGAGGGGCAACCGGGACAGAATCCGGCGCCCCGACCGGGACTAGAACCCGGTGTGCCGGCGCTGCTAGGCGGAGGATTAGCCTAGTGAGCCGCGGCGCCAGCCTTAGTCTGGTTTTTGAACTATAATCTCACAATCAAAGGACACAGAACCTGTGTCCTTTGTTTATTTGAATCCATTTACATTAATTATGATTAACATATTTAATTTCTAATATCTTGATATTTTCTGTTTACCAAGCCTTTTCTTTCATCATTTTGATATGATCTATTGATTATTTGAATATCCTTCCTAAACTTTAATTTTGAAGTTTTTTTCTCGTAGTTATTCCTAAAATTCTGATTACATAGTGATTTATATAGCCTATAAAAATATCCACTCTCTTTTTCTAAATAATAACGCACTCAGTGCTGGCACTGTGGCATAGTGGGCTAAGCCTCCACCTGCAACACCAGCATCCCATTTGGGGTGTCCTGGCTGCTCCTCTTCTGATCCAGCTCTCTGCTATGCCTGGGGAAAGCAGTGGAATATGCCCAAGTCCTTGGGCCCCTGCACCCATGTGGGAGACCTGGAAGAAGCTCCTGGATCCTGGCTTCAGATTGTTTCAATTATTAGGGGAGTGAACCAATGGATAGAAGAACTTTCTCTTTGTGTCTCCCTCTCTCTCTAGCTTTACCTCTCAAATAAATAAATAAATATCTTTTATAAAAAGAACATACAAAGCATTAATTCTCCTGTTTTCCATCATATGTGTGCACATTTCCCTTCACTTGTTTTCTCTGTTCTCTCCTGTTAGCCATTGTTGTTCCTTTTCATTCTAACCACCGTGAGTCATAGCTTCCCTTTCAGATCTTAAAGTTCTGTATCTTTCTTTTAGGTATTTTGGTTAATTTTCTTGGCTTTAGTATGTTCATTCCACATTATTTTTTAAAACTCTCCTTATTTCTCATTCCTGTTTTGCTGTTGTTATATTTATTACCAGTTTTATTTAGGATTATCCAGAAAGTCTGCAGTTTTCTTGATTTTTTTTCAGTCACATACTTTTTTTTTTCCTATGTTAAATTTCCTTACTACTGAAGTATATACCTCTATCAGGTATTAAATTGATGATCAATTAGTAGCTAATGTTCTCAAGTTTATCTCAAAATATCTTCATTTTCCCAATGCCATTGAATGCAATTTATCTCAGTATAGAAGTCTAGATTATCAGTTATTTGTCCTCAATAATTTGAAAAAAAAATGTTACATCATCTTCTCTGGCTTTTGTTAATGCTACTGATAAACTATTGTTTATTTATAGGCATTTGTTATTTCCTTTTATTTGTTTTTTAGATGCTGTTGTATTTCCTATTTTAGAGACCCTAAAATATAATTAGGTACAAGGTGAGCATTCCTAATCTGAAAATTTGAAATCCAAAATGCCCCAATATTGAAAACTGAGTACTATTGGATTTTGGTTCAGTTTGGATTTTGAAATAGGCACTGGTAGTTCTGTGCAAATATTCCCAAATGCAAAAAACTCCCAAAAATCCTAAGCATTTTGGATAAGGAATATTCAATCTGTTCTGGGTTCATTTTTGTTTGCCCTGATTTTGGCCTATGGTGTTTCTTAAATTAAGAGATTGTTATCTTTTATCAATCATGGGAAGTTCTAGGTTGTTGTGTCTTTGAATATATGTCCTTTTCCCTGAGCTCTCTGACTTTCCCTATAGCTCATAGTTTGGTCTTTAAGTTCCCTATCACTGTTTCTAAATTCTGTGCTCAAGTGGGTAGCTCTGCTTCTCTCTCTGTGGCATTCTGGTTATTTATTTTTTTATCTTTCAGATCATCACTTTTTTTCTTCTGCTCTGATTGCTGTTCATCCTGTCCATGGAGTTTTAAAATTTCTGTGACTGTAATTTTTTATTTTTGTAAGTTTCTCTTGACTTTTCATGTCATCACACACTTACTGTGATGATTCTTTGTGTGCATAAGAATTCTTTTCTATTTCAGTTTCAAATGACACAAAATTATACATGCTTATGGAGAGTATAAGTTGATGTTTTATACAGGTATATATTATGTAATGATTAAATTATAGTAATTATATTGCTGTACACATTGATTATTTCTTTGTCAGGAGACAAAAATCCTCTCTTCTAGCTTTTTTGAACTATGCCATACATTATTAATTACTGTCACCCTGCTGTGCAATGAAGCACTGGAACTCGTTCCTCTTACTTGTAACTGTAATATTTTACTTACTAACTTTTCCTCATTATCATCCCTTCCTTATGCAGCCTCTGTCATCCACGATTCTACTGTCCGCTTTTATGAGATCAACATGTGAGGGAGATCAGGTAGTATTTGGCTTTCTGGGTCTGACTTATTTCACTGAACATAATCACCTCCAGTTCATACAAACTGTCACAGATGACAAGATTTCACCCTTTTTAAAATGCTGAAAAGTATTATATTGCGTATATATGGCATGTTTTCTTTATCTGTTCATTACGTGATGGACACTTAGGTTGACTCCATATCCCAGCTAATGTGAATAGTGCTCCAGGAAACACAGAAGCACAGGTGTCACCTTGAGAAACCAGTTTCACTTCCTTTGTGCTTGTTCCCAGCCGTTGTATTACTGGATCACAGGGTAGCTTTACTTTCAGTGTTTTAAAAGGATGTTAATTTTATGCCAGCAGTTTTGAAAACTTACAGAAAATATGCATACTTCTTCAAAAACATAAAGAAAAATTAACATGGAGAGAAAAAATTTTGAATAGCTCCATGCATATTTAAGAAATTTAGTTTCATTTTTAAAATGTTTCTCCACAGGTACCTAAATGTTTAAGTAGTTCACTGATGAATTCTACTAAACAGTTAAAACAGAAATAATGGCACAATAATCTCTTCTTTCATTAAACACAGAATTATCAAATGTTTTGCATCCACTTCTAAGAGTCCAACATAACCCTGATAGCAAAACCTAGGTATAGGGAAACATAGCATTATAGAACTATAGCCATGATTAATACAGATGCAAAAATCTTAATAGCAAATAGAACCCAGAAACATATAAAAATAAAATGTATTAGATTTTTCTTCTCCTTGTTTGTATCTGATCTGATATTGAGATTTGTGCTTTCATGTGTTTTCATATTGGTAGTTATCAACTTTTACTTCTTTTTTTTTTTTAAATATCTGTTTATTTGGAAGGTAAAGTTAGAGAAGCAGAGGCAGAGGCAAAGAGAGATCTCTTTCATCCCCTGGATCACTTTCCAAATGGCCACAATGGCTAGGGTCAGGCAGATCTGAAGCCAGGAGCCAGGAGCTTCTTCTGGGTCTCCCATGCGGGTGCAGGGGCCCAAGGACTTGGGCCATCTTCCATTGCTTTCCCCAGCCAAGGCAGAGAGCTGAATTGGAAGTGGAGCAGCCAGGACATGATGTGGTGCCCATATATGATGCCAGCACTGCAGGTGGTGGCTTAACCCACTAGCTAAAGCGCCGACCCCATCCTTTTACTTCTGATGATTATGGGAATTTGGCTAGAGAAGACTTGGCAAGGTCCAGTCCGGATCATGAAAGGCTGTATTTAACAGGCAAGGAATTCAGATGTTATCTGTGAGATTCAATATTCAGTGACATGGGGGCCAGCGCTGTGGCATTTGGGTAAAGCTGCTGCCTGCAGTGCCGGTATTCCATATGGCCACCAGTTCATGTCCCAGCTGCTCCACTTCCAATCCAGCTTTCTGCTATAGCCTGGGAAAACAGTGGAAGATGGCTCAAATCCTTGGGCCCCTGGGCCCTCATGGAAGGCTTGGAAGAAGCTCCTATCTCCTGGCTTTTGGATGGAAGACCTCTCTCTCTCCCTTTCTCTCTCTCTCTCTCCCTCCCACCGCCCCCCCCTTTGCCTATCCTTCTCTCTGTGTGTAACTCTTTCAAGTAAATAAATGAATCTTTAAAAATAAATAAATAAAAATTATTTAATTAAAAAAACAATATCCAGTGACATGTATGAAAGTGAGAGAAGACAGTCAGATGTACATTTTAGAAACAGTGTGAGCAATCAGTGTGAAAGATTGCCAGGTAAGTCACAGATCGGAAGCTTTGATAATAGCTATACCAGGGAATGAATAGGGCTTGAACCAAGTCCCTAGTGATGAGGATGGAGAAGGAACAGGTGGAAGGGTATGATTCAGGAGAGACTGAAGACAAATAACAACAAGATGTAAGGCTTGATTAGATGTTGGAACTCAATAAAGAGTTGGAATTACCTGATTTCTGTTGTGGACAACTGAATAAATGTTGCCATGTTAACTTAGAGAAGGAATTTGTAGATGTTTGCTTGAAGAAGGTTAGTGTCCTCTAGGACCTACAGGTGGGAATTGAAGTAATGATAGTGATAACACTTCTTCACGTGCCATATCACTTTGAAAATTAAAGTATTAACAGTTAACATAGAGAAATATCAACACAAAGAATGCACTGAAGTAAAGTTAAAAGCAAGTAAAGTTAAAAGCAAGAGTTATATTTATGGAAACCCAGACAGAGATGTGTTGGAGAGAAGTGATCAAAATCTAGTCAGTTGGTCTAACTTATAGCTGTTACCATAAATATGTGTTGTCTTGCTGCTATTAGTGAATCATTCTTGCTAATAAATATTAATATATTTTACATATTCTTGGTGATTTTTTCTTTTTTGTTTACTTTTTTATTTTTATTTTGTTAACTTTTCTTTAATAAATATAAATTTCCAAAGTACAACTTTTGGATTACAGTGGCTTTTCCTCCCCATAACTTCCCTCACACCCACAACCCTCCCATCTCCTGCTCCCTCTCCCGTCCCATTCACATCAAGATTCATTTTCAATTATCTTTATATATAAAAGATTAATTTAGTATATATTAAGTAAAGATTTCAACAGTTTGCACCCACACAGAAACACAAAGTGTAAAGTACTGTTTGAGTACTAGTTATACCATTAATTCACATTGTACAACACATTAAGGACAGAGATCCTATATGGGGAGTAAGTGCACAGTGACTCCTGTTGTTGATTTAACAATTGACACTCTTGTTTATGGTGTCAGTAATCACCCTAGGCTCTTGTCATGAGTTAACAAGGCCATGGAAGCCTTTAGAGTTTGCCAACTCCGATCTTATTTAGACAAAGTTATAGTAAAAGTAGAAGTTCTCTAAAGGTACCTCCTTTTTTGATGGCCCATTCTTTCCACTGGGATCTCACTCACAGAGATCTTTCATTTAGGTCTTTTTTTACTTTTTTTTTTTTTTTTTTTACGTGTGCCAAAAGTGTCTTGGGTGTCTTGGCTTTCCATGCCTAAAATACTCTCATGGGCTCTTCAGCCAGTTCCGAATGCCTTAAGGGCTGATTCTGAGGCCAGAGTGCTGTTTAGGACATCTGCCATTCTACGAATCAGCTATGTATCCTGCTTCCCATGTTGGATCGTTCTCTCTTTTTTAATTCTATCAGTTAGTATTAGCAGACTTAGTCTTGTTTATGTGAGCCTTTTGACTTAATCCTATCATTATGATCAATTGTAAATTGAAACTGATCACTTTGACTAGTGACTTGGCATTGGTACATGCCCCCTTGATGGGATCAATACAAACATCTACAGCCAACTTATATTTGATCAAGGATCTAAAACCAATTCCTGGAGCAAGGACAGTCTATTCAATAAATGGTGCTGGGAAAACTGGGTTTCCACGTGCAGAAGCATGAAGCAAGACCCCTACCTTACACCTTACGCAAAAATCCACTCAACATGGATAAAAGATCTAAATCTATGACTCGACACCATCAAATTATTAGAGAACATAGGAGAAACCCTGTAAGATATAGGCACAGGCAAAGACTTCTTGGAAAAGACCCCAGAGGTACAGGCAGTCAAAGCCAAAAGTAGCAATTGGGATTACATCAAATTGAGAAGTTTCTGTATTGCAAAAGAAACAGTAAGGAAAGTGAAGAGGCAACCAACAGAATGGGAAGACCCTGCAGCACATTGGCATAGGCAAAGAGTTCTTAGAGAAGACCCCAGAGACACAAGCAATCAAAGCCAAAATTGACAAATGGAAATGCATCAAATTGAGAAGCTTCTACACTGCAAAAGAAACACTCAGCCAAATAAAGAGGCAGCTTCAGAATGGGAGAAATTATTTGCAAACTATGCAACAGATAAAGGATTAATAACCAGAATCTACAAAGAAATCAAGAAACTCCACAACAACAAAACAACCCACTGAAGAGATGGGCCAAGGACCTCAATAGACATTTTTCAAAAGAGGAAATCCAAATGGCCAACAGGCACATGAAAAATGTTCAAGATCACTAGCAATCAGGGAAATGCAAATCAAAACCACAATGAGGTTTCACCTCACTCCGGTTAGAATGGCTCACATACAGAAATCTACCAACAACAGATGCTGGCGAGGATGTGGGGAAAAAGGGACACTAACCCACTGTTGGTGGGAATGCAACCCAGTAAAGCCACTATGGAAGTCAGTTTGGAGATTCCTCGGAAACCTGAATATAACCCTATCATACAACCCAGCCATCCCACTCCTTGGAATTTACCCAAAGGAAATTAAATTGGCAAATAAAAGAGCTGTTTGCACCTTAATGTTTATTGCAGCTCATTTCACAATAGTTAAGACCTGGAATCAACCTAAATGCCCTTCAACAGTAAACTGGATAAAGAAATTATGGAATATGTACTCTATAGAATACTATACAGCAGTAAAAAACAGTGAAATCCAGTCATTTGAAACAAAATGGAGGAATCTGGAAAACATCATGCTGAGTGAAATAAGGCAGTCCCAAATGGACAAATATCATATGTTCTCCCTGATCGGTGACAACTAACCGAGCACCTAAAAGGAAACCTGTTGAAGTGAAATGGACACTGAGAAACAGTGACTTGATCAGCCCTTGTCCTGTTGATGTACAATGTAATACTTTATCCCTTTTAGTATTTTTTTTTGTTCTACTTAATATTATTGGTTGAACTTTGAAATTAACACACAATTATTCCTAGGTGTTTAAATTTAACTGAAAAGTGATCCCTGTTAAATATAAGAGTGGGAATAAGAGAGGGAGAAGATGTACAGTTTGGCACATGCTCAATCAGACTTGCCCCAAACGGTAGAGTTAGAAACGTGCCAGGGGATTCCGACTTGGTGATTTTGATGTGTGATTCTAAGTAATGTTGTTAATACCAGGAGATCCAAATATTGTGTTATTTAAATATTTCTCACTAATGTTTGTTGGGGTTTTCCAGTGTTAGAACATTTGCCATAGGCTTCATTTTCTTGTTAACGCTTTGGAATATCTACACATGAAGTTTGAAATAGATTTAAATGTGAATTGACAAAGGCAGGGTATGTGTTAATGGAAAAACCAGACATGGAACAAGCAGATAAAGTATTTCATCACTGAGCAGAGGAAGTGAACTCATCTAAAGCAGCAGATATCCTAACATGCATCTGGAAGAAGCTTTTTCTCTTAGAGGGAAATGCTCTCCCTTCCTCCTGCTCCATCTCCATCTTCAAGTCAAGACATCAGCACAAGAATCAATAAAAAACTTTCTGTATCTGGAAAATTTGTCTTGAAGCAAAGACAAGTCTGTATACTGTTGTAAACTTCTCTTTAAGAGTTATGGAGGATGAAGTTTAAATATTACATTTATTATCTTTAAGTTTTCTTATTTTTCCTTTTTTTAGATTTTACTTAAGGTGCACAATTTTGTGTATTTAATATGTACAGATTTAGGAATTTAATGATACTTCGCTCCCACCCACCCATCCTCCCACCGTTCTTCCCCCTCCATCTCCTATTCCCACTCTTAATTTTTTTAAAAAGATTTCTTTCTTTATTTGAAAGAAAACAGAGAGGCCAGAGGCAGAGAGAAAGAGAGGTCTTCCATCTGCTGGTTCGTTCCCCAAATGGCCACAGAAGCTGGAGCTGAGCTATCTGAAGCCAGGAGTCAGGAGCTTCTTACAGGTCTCCTAGCCGTGCAAGGGCCCGAGGACTTGGGCCATCCTCTGCTACTTTCCCAAGCCATAGCTGAGAGCTGGATCGGAAGTGGAACAGCCAGGACTTGAATTGGCCCCCACATGGGATTCTGGCACTGCAGGTGGCGACTTTATCTGCTACGCCACAGCACCGGTCTTCCACTCTTAATTTTTACAAAGATCTATTTTCAGTTTACTTCATACTCATAAGATTAATACTACACTAAGAGCCGGCGCTGTGGCTCACTAGGCTAATCCTCCGCCTTGCGGCGCTGGCACACCGGGTTCTAGTCCCGGTCGGGGCGCCGGATTCTGTCCCGGTTGCCCCTCTTCCAGGCCAGCTCTCTGCTGTGGCCAGGGAGTGCAGTGGAGGATGGCCCAAGTACTTGGGCCCTGCACCCCATGGGAGACCAGGAGAAGCACCTGGCTCCCCCATTGGATCAGCACGGTGCGCCGGCGGCGCGCAGGCCGCAGCAGCCATTGGAGGGTGAACCAACGGCACAGGAAGACCTTTCTCTCTGTCTCTCTCTCTCACTGTCCACTCTGCCTGTCCAAAAAAAAAAAAAAAATACCCTAAAAAAAAATACTACAACAAGTAAAAAGCTCAACAGAGTATGAAAGAAAAAACACTATTATTTATTTTGTGTTAATGTTTCTTGCTTTCAACTTTTAAGTCATGAACTGTCTATTTCAAGTTGAGATCATTTTTATGTTATTAAAATACATAATTTTGTCACAGTATGTTAGCCCAAATGATGAGAAACCATGCATTTATTATTACGTCATTTTCAACAGAGTGCTTCTAAGACTTTAGTATAAGAAATGATACACTGTTTATTATGGGCATTTGTTATTTAAAGTATATAAATCAGATAAAATACAGAATAATTAATGATTTAGGAATTATTTCTGTCATCTCCAAATCATGAAGATTAATATCTTTTGGGAATATGGAGACTCTAGACAGTTTTGACTCATTATTTTCATTATTCAGGAAAAAAAAAATGTAAACTTCTCAAGAAATGCCAGGCAGGAATTCCCTCCTGGAAACACTTTTGGCACTGTACTGAGCTCATTACATGCACTATCTCATTTAGTCCTTACCGAGACCTGTGATGTGCAGGCTGTTTGGTAGCTGCAGATTACAGGTGAGGAAACCAAAACAAAGAGGGAGAACAGGTAGCACCCACAGGACGAAGTAACTAGCAGCAAGGACAGCAGATTGAAACCCAGGCTGCGTGACTCCACAGCACATGCTCTCAGGGGACCCCATGCACTGGGCTGACGGAGGTGGGGTTTTGGAGTTAAGGAGAATGGATGAAGTAGAATGTACACTCGGATCTGTTCCTGTCTAACAGGGACATGCGAGAGCAAGTGCAGTTGGTGTGGTATAAAGTGTTGGCTGTGAGCTGAAACTGGCTGGGTTTTGCAGTCCTTCGAGCTCTCCAAATTTTGTAGTTCCACACAACAGAGCTTCCCTGCTTCTTTAAAAGAATGAAGATCAAAAGAACATTTATTTGCTAACTTCATTTCAGCAAATTACTTCTGTGCCAGAACAGGCCAAGCAAACTGACAGATTGAGGAATGAGCCCTACCAGTGTGCTTTGTGGCTGCAAACAGCCTGGTGTTTGCTGAAGATTGCTCCCATCTCTGCTTTGCCTTGTTTGTTTCTGGTTAATCCTCTCTTATCAATGCATCTGTCTTGTTCCCTGATTGCATTCTGAGTTAGCTCTGCTATGGTATGGCAACTTCATTTGTTAAGACTTTCTTACTGCAACTGCTAACGGTGTCTGAGTCTACAGGGACAAAGCAAAGAGCAGCAACCTCACCTATATTTATTTTTTAAATACCTTGCTAAAACAATAATCTTTAAGAGTTTCCCTCTTTTTTACATGCCAGCATGGTGCTTAGAGCAGCTATTTAAAATTTCCCAAATTGTGTCTAAGGAAATATCAACAAAATTACTGATTTGATGTGAGCTGATCAAATTCCTAGAATTCCAGGGGTTGGGGGAAACAAATCAAAGAAACAGCAGCAGCACAGTGTGTGGAAGTGTGGGGTTAGTTGCTTTACTTGCATGATAAAAGTTGGGCATGTGTTGAAGAGGGAGTTAGGCAGATGGCTTAGTTTATAATACTAACAGCAGTGGAATGTTAACATGGTTAGGAAATAGCTTTTAGATGCACCCTTTAGAATAAGTGTTGTTTTAAATGCCTTACTGAAAAACAAGTGTATGTTTGGTGATTATGAGCTTTGAGCTTGCACAGACCTGACTTTCTAGATTGCTACTACTTGTGTGCTATGTGATCTTGGATGAATTATGTAGATTCTCTGAGATTTCTCATCTTTAATAAGTAAGGATGCAGGGCCTGTGCAGCAGGTTAAGCAGCTGCTTGCAACACCTGCATGGCATATGAATGCCAGTTCAAGCCTGGCTTCTCTGCATCCCATCCAGCTAGCTGTTAATACACCTGGCAAAGTTCTTGGCCCCTGCCACCCATTTGGGAGACCTACATGGAGTTCTGGGCTCCTGGCTTTTTCCTGGCGTGGCCCTGGCTGTTGTGGCTGTTTGGGGAGTGAGCCAGCAGATGGAAGATCTCTCTCTCTTTCTCTCTCTCTCTCTCTCTATCTGCTACTCTGCCTGTCAAATATAAATCAATCTTTAAGAAAATAAGGAATGTAGAACTTAAGCTTTTTATAAAATGAAATGAGTGATATATATAAAGATCTTAATACAGTATATGTGGTACATAGTAAACACTAAAGAGAAGGTGGTCCATTTATTTATGGATGGATCACCTTTATTTCTTGAGCACCTTTCTGTGTGGTGGTTAATTTCTGCGCTTCATGATGTGATGATACAACAAATGCATTCCCTTACCTTAATGAGACAAGTAGGGATACAATTAGAGTAAATGAGAATAAGTGTCAGCCACAGAGCATGCAGGGTGCTAGTGGAGCACATGGTGGCGACAGCTAATGAGAGCCTGGCAGATCTGATAGTTCGTGGGCAAAGAGAAAGCAGCTACCCCCAGACTTGCCCAAGCATCTGACTGAATTCACTGACCTGCTTCCACTGAACACATATTGAGAACCGTGACTTTTTTTTTAAGAAAAGAAATAATACACAAGTGCTAAACTTGTAATCACAAAGTTTATTGAGTTTTGTGTGTATAATACAATCCAAGTGTCCATAATTATCAAGCACAATACTCTGAATAAGCTATCCATATAATATAGTTTAGCCCTTTAAATGTGTTCTCTAAAAAATACAAAAGCAAAAAATAAAATCTGTCCTTTTCTTATTGAATTTATTGAAATTAATTCAAATTAATTGAAGTATCTTATTAATGCTCTGATACTACATTTGAAGGCAGAGAGATAACCCTGGGGATTCTTGACGCTTGCATCTCTTTCCCTGAATTCTCTCAGAATACACTGGGCCCATTGTCTTCTCCTCCCCCATAGTTGATTTGATTTCCCAGGGTCTCATAATGTGTCCCTCCTCTGTGTGCCCCTCGCCACACTGTATTTTCTGTCCCTGGCTGGCACTTATCTCATTTGTTATAATTGCTTGCCTCCTTGTCTCATTAAGATAGAACTGCTGCACAGTGAGAGAGTCTGTGATATCATACTGCCTCGGCTTCAGAAACGCTATGTACTAGAGGAAGCTGAGCAACTGGAGCCTCGAGTTAGTGCTCTAGAAGAGGACATGGATGACGTGGAGTCCAGTGAAGAAGAGGAAGAGGAAGATGAGAAGTTGGAAAGAGTGCCATCACCTGATCACCGCCGGCGAAGCTACCGAGACTTAGACAAGCCCCGTCGCTCTCCTACACTGCGCTACAGGAGGAGTAGGAGTCGGTCACCCAGAAGGCGGAGTCGATCTCCAAAACGGAGAAGCCCATCCCCTCGTAGAGAAAGGCATCGTAGCAAGAGCCCCAGACGTCATCGCAGCAGGTCTAGAGATCGACGGCACAGATCCCGCTCCAAATCCCCAGGTCATCACCGTAGTCACAGACACAGGAGCCACTCAAAGTCTCCTGAAAGATCTAAGAAAAGCCACAAGAAGAGCCGGAGAGGGAATGAGTAATGGATTCAATTTGGTTTTAGTCCAAATGGCCTCCTCTGTATATGAGGGCATCTGTCTACGTGGAAGGATTAAGACCTGCTCCCCCAGGCAGCTATGAGAATATTTTGGTCTTTTCTTATCAAGTTTCTCCACTCTTTTTTTTTTTTTTTAATGAAAGAGGTGCTGAGTTTTGTATCTCTTTGAATCATAACTAAAATCTTTGAGGGATGATGATGTTTCTTAAGGTCAGTTTTTGACCGGGCCAACCATGACTATATTCATATTTAGAATAGGGGTTGGAGATATGAATGACAAAAAAAAAGGATATGGCCACTTGGTTGACACTATCCTTTTGTGTTACTAGGCCCCAAAATACCCATTTTTCTGTAGTTTATTTTTGATTCGCTCTGTCATTGGAGCTACATTGAGAATCCTAGAGTTGATGTTGCTACAGTTATCCAAAGATCAAATCAACACAGCAGAGCAGCTCCTTTTGTCTAGCAGCAGCAAGTAATAATGAATAAGAAAACGAGGTAGCAGTAATTTTGCAAGAACAGAATACTTTCAAACACAAAGCTGCTTCTGGATCATTTAATCTGGTGCCATTGAACAGCTTTAACAGACAGTACCCTACATACAACACATTTCATTCTTACCCACAAGCCAGGTTGAGGTGCCTCGGCCTTTATCATTCACTGAGCAGTAGGGCAACAATGTTGAAAAAGATTTGATGGAAAATATCTAGTATTATTCATGGTTGTTACCTAAATTGTAAGACACTGATGCCATTCACAAATGTAGAAAATACAAAAAGAGACAGTTTGAGGGGAATGAAATGAGGGCTCTGGTGGTAGGGAAAATGATACATTAAGTTTTATTTTGCAACAGCTGTGGGATGGGATGGCATAGGGAATGTGACTGACATCCTGCAACTGTAGTCTGCCACAGGGAGAACTGTAATCACCAGCTGCCTTACAGGAACTAGCTTCTTGGAGGCCATATTTGATTACAGGATAAACAATTTGTTGCTTACACTGAACTGAAGGACTTTTGTAGCAATATTAAAGCAGTTTTTAATCTATTCGAGCTTTCATATTCTTAATGGTTCCTCTCATGGTAATGCCTGAGCTAAACAACATTATCCCTAAAAACTGTGATGGTTTACGATATAACTATCTGTAGGACCACCATTTAATAATAAACAAAATTTTCTAATTCTGAAAAAAAAAAAAGAAAAGAAAGAAAGAAAAGGAATGGGAGACTTCATTGACCTCGTGTTACCATTCTCAGAAAGTACCTACCACGAAAGAAGGCACCTGATGAATATTTATGTAGCAAACGAATGAACTGATAGAGACACACATGCTGTGGTCAAGTATGCTTTTGCTGGACCCTCCTCTGTGCTTTTTTGAACTAGAGGAAAAGATTGCCAGTAGAAACCACTTAACTAAACTTGAGTTCCATGTAAAAACAAGTCAACCCAGGGTGCATATAGCCTCAAGTGTTGCCCTATGCGTATTTGGACTTTATACTAGATTTGCTTTTAATGTTTTTGCTTATGCCATTAGGAGGCTTTTCCCCTTCTAAATTTGCAGTCATCTTGAATGGTTGAGATGACTTGGATGTATTATCCTTCCTGTCTGAGGGGGTAGTGAAACCTAGAACTCAGCTAAGGCAGTCCTCCATCCAGCTCCAGTTTCTAATGTCCAGCTGCATAATCTTATTATCCATCTAAAGCTTCAGTCTGCTTATCTATTCAATGGGATTAATAGTAAAAATACCCCTTAGGGTTGTTGTAAAGATTGAGATAATACATATAACAGCTTACCCAATGCTTGGCATGTAGTAATAACTATTAACTTTAATTTTTATTGTTAGTGTAAGTCATCTGCATGTTACAGGAATAAAATAAACTATGCTAATGTTGACAGTCAGATGTGTACTGTCGAAACATTTCTTCATAATACCAATGTTACGGCCTTGGAAATGCAGTGCTCAGACTTACTGATGTTGGAATCCTAATTGATGGATAGCCTTGCCTGCTTCCTGTCTGGATCCACTTCTTCACACCAAGGCCAAGCTTCTCCTGAGCAGTTCCTGGCCAGTTGGAGCCCAGTAAGGCAGCTAATGCATGCCTGTTCCTGCAAAGCCTGAGATTCCTTTAATAGGTGCCTTCAGCTCCCAGACTCCCACCTGCCCGTGGGAACTTCCATGAAACTGCAAAGTCTGACTGTTCCTGCACAGTCTTCTTTTCTCCTCTCTTCACTGCACGATCTTAGACCTACATCCAAATCTGAGGTTCTCCCCACTCTGGCCTGCTCCTCTCTTTTTCCTTTCCTGGCATTTCCTGCAGTTAGTGTGCTCCTTGGAGATTACGAGCTGACACAAACCATTGTAACCATTGCTGGAAGGGACTCTCAGTCTATACTGTAAAGCACAAAGCTGTGTTGTCTCCATTAAGTGAATATTGATCATCAAATCTCTAAAATAACATTGGCCACCCTTTCCTCATAAAAAAGTACTAAAATTTAGGTCTTAGCATGCCAGTATGCAGATTAAGTTTTAAGGTTGCCGTTATTTAGGACAGTCCCTTACAGTTCCAGGTCTTTAAACTGATACAGTGATTTGAGTCCTTAACATTCTTGAACACCAAATTCCCCCCTCTTCAGTAAACACAACAAAACCAAACATTGATAGCTCTCTGGAATTTAACTACCACCAAATCCTCCTTTGATTATTATTTTCATGACAGACCAGGTCCAGGGGACAGTCACCATCCGGAACATCAGTGCTGTGTCTTCAGGTTTGTACCAGTGTGTAGCTTCTAATGCCATTGGAACAAGCACCTGTCTTTTGGATCTCCAAGTTATTTCACGTAAGTATGTGAAATTCTGAAGTTAACTCCAAGGCTGAATCTCTAAGATCTTTGCTAAGCCAGGAAGTGAAAGATTGTGCTTATATGTTTTGAGGTTTTCTGAAGAGTAGATGGAAATTTTTCTGGTTTTAATCATTTTAAAATATTTTATAAACATCTTAATATACTTTTTACTCTCATAAATATCATGATTATGAAAAAGTACCTTCCTCTTCCAAATAACGAGACTCAAACCAGTTTTTGTATCATTGTGCTATAAATGTCAAACATATGTAATGATCTTATGGCCAAAGTGAGACTTTCTTGTGTTTTTCACTAATCCCTTATTATTAATCCCTCAGTTGTTGGGTGTCTAAGCTATTAGCAGGCATTGTAGAAAAATTTCTGTTTAGTTCATCATTTCTGGGTTATTTGAATTGTAGTTGCAAAACAGAGTGTTGTGGCTGTGATAAAGTAATGAGGTAGCCAGCTGATGGCTGGGTTTCATTTGTGGCAGATCAGCCAGGGTAGATTTGTACACTCTGTTTTCTGCTCTCCTCTGGTTGTTACTCTGATCTTAAAGATGTGAACTGCTTAATGATTTGTTCATTCCAGAGGTGTTGAGAACCTACTATGTGTTAGTCCTAGCCAGTGTGGAATATAGAAGGTTAATTGAGTTTTAATTTTGTATGTATGTAGTACTTTGGGCATGTTTAAAAAATTTAAGCATATTATTTAGTAAACCTGTGTGCTTCTAAGTTGTGCAGGTTTATGCTATTTCACTCCTTTTGTGTGTGTCTCCTTTTTTAAAAAAACACCTTAAATATATTTTGCAGCCCAACCCAGGAGCATTGGACTAATAGCAGGAGCCATTGGCACTGGTGCAGTTATTGTCATTTTTTGCATTGCACTAATTTTAGGGGCATTCTTTTACTGGAGAAGAAAAAATAAAGAGGAGGAAGAAGAAATTCCTAATGAAATAAGGTTTGTCCTGCATGGCCAATATATATTTCTCTTTATTTATGAAGTTAACATTTCTTTATTGCTCTTATAACTCTGATGGTCAAGGTAATTAAAGTGGCCAAACAGTACTGTGTCTGGTATATGCTTTTCTTCATGGTCCTGCCTGGCTTTATTAACTGGGTTATTAACAAGAGGACACAACCAGCAAGAGAGAAATGAATTCCCCTGCTCCTCCATGTATCTCCAGAGTCAGTGGGGTGAATTCTGGGTTGCCAGAATAAAGAAGTTAGTTTAAAACACGTGTTAACATGGGCATTTATAACAGAGGAGAGTGTACAGCACTGGCTCTGTCTCAAATTTGGTCTGCTCATCTTTGTTGAAAATGCTATTACGGCCAGCACCGAGGCTCAATAGGCTAATCCTCCGCCTGCGGCGCCAGCACACCAGGTTCTAGTCCCGGTCAGGGCACCGGATTCCATCATGGTTGCTCCTCTTCCAGTCCAGCTTTCTTCTGTGGCCCTGGAGGGCAGTGGAGGATGGCCCAAGTGCTTGGCCCCGCACCTGCATGGAAGACCAGGAGAAGCACCTGGCTCTTGGCTTCGGATCAGCGCAGCGCGCCGGCCACAACGGCCATTAGGGGGTGAACCAAGGGAAAAAGGAAGACCTTTCTCTCTGTCTCTCTCTCTCACTGTCCACTCTGCCTGTCAAAAAAAAAATTTTTTTTAAATTAAAAAAAAAGAAAATGCTGTTACTCCTCCAGTCGTCTTTGTTTGACATACCCAGCCTCCAGGATCTGCCCCTCACCTGCTTGCTGCATGCTGCTTGCCACGTACTCTCTCACCACTGCTCTGCTCACTCTGTGTTCCTGTCTGTTCTGCATTCTCTCGTGCCTCAGGACCTTTGCTGATGCCTCGGTACTCTTCCTGGACCAAAGGTCTTCCCCTCTCATCTGTTCATTCACCGAGTCCCCGGATCTAATTCAACACGAGTCCAGACATCACCTCCACACATAAGTTGCATTTAGCTCCTTGCCTGACCTTTCCAGCTTGCCAAATGTTCTTGTATTGATTGGCGGCCCCATTTGAGTGTAGGCTTCTTAGGTGTAGAACCTGTGTCTTTTTGCCTGAAACATCAGGTCAGTTGTACTCAAAAATGTTAAATAAACCCATTAGCTTCTTAAATCAGTGACTTCTGTCGGACTCTTGTATTCTTTAGTGTGGATTGAGCTGTGTGTAGGTATAGTGTTTCCCAGCGTAAGATCACTGGGGAAAAGCTCTCATCGGCATACCGCATGATTTCTCTCTGCACACCCAGAGCTTGATTTCCTAGCTATTTTATGGCAACTGACCCAGTGGATTTCTTTATGGACTATTTTCCTATTTGCAGTAAAAATCAAGCTTATACTTATTATTTATAAAAATATCAACATTTATATGTTTATGAGTAAATATTTGTGCTATAAGGAAGAAGGCATTCTTTAAGAGATTTGCTGTTTCTTTTTCTACTCTTTGTTTGTTTGAGATTTTTCTTTCCTTTTCTACTCTTGATATGAGGGGGGAAGATTTTCTTGACCATTGTCTCAAAGGGAATGGGTGCCCAACTGAGACCATCTGGCATCGCTGTGTTTGCTTTTGTGAGAGCAAATGTGATAGTCTCCTGAGGCTGGTGCCTCCCACATAGTCATCTTAGCATGCCTTGGTAGAAGGTAGGCTAAACCTCGGGCACATGCTAATGACTATTTGGTTTTCTTCCTTCCAGAGAAGATGATCTTCCACCTAAGTGTTCGTCTTCTGCCAAAGCATTTCATGCCGAGATGTCGTCCTCGGAGAACAACACGTTGACCTCTTCCAATACCTACAGCAGCCGCTACTGGGGCAACAACCCCAAAGTTCACAGGAACACGGAGTCCTTCAACCACTTCGGTGACTTGCGCCAGTCTTTCTCCCTCCACTCAGGCAATGCCAACATCCCATCCATCTATACTAATGGGAACCATTTGGTTCCAGGTCAGCCTAAGACTTTGGTAGTGACAGCCAACAGAGGGTCATCCCCGCAGGTCATGTCCAGGAACAATGGCTCAGTCAACAGGAAGCCTCGGCCTCCACACACACACTCCTACACCGTCAGCAAAGCTACCCTGGAGCGAATTGGTGCAGTACCTGTCATGGTGCCTGCCCAGAGTCGAGCTGGATCCCTGGTATAGGACATGAGGGGAATGTTGGGTTTCGACAAGAATACATGGAGTTTCCCCTACTTGCGGGAGGGGGTGGTTAGGACGGGCAGGTGCTGGGAGAGCAGCTCTCCTCATCATATTAGTGAAAAGCACCAAGAAGAAGGTGGTGGTGTTACCTGGCTACAATGATGTGTAAAATGGATTGGAAGGCGCCATCATGAAAACGTGTTTCCCCACCACAGATACGTTGTGACTCTGTTCAGTAAGCTACATCTCAAAGATGTGCCATGCTAAGGAAAAAGACGTAAGAGCAGAACAGCACTTAAAATGCAAACTGCAGTCCAGCTGGACTTGGTTTGTAATTCATGCCTAACTTAATATTTTTGAGGAGACTAAAGTGCCAGATGGAATTTAAATGAGATTATTTGACAGGTTAAAGATAGGTGTCTTTAGAGGAGTAACAAGCAGAACACGAGTATCGTGTGTTCTGCTTCTCCCTGTGCGCTCTTTGAGTAGAGGGCTTGATGACAGACATGGTTAATTTTGATCCCTAAAGGTCTGACTCTTTTATCATAGAATCAAAACTACACAAACAACATTCAGTAAGAAATGGGAGGAAGCAAAGGAAATGTCTTTGGAAAGCCCCTGCATATTTATTTATTTATCTATCTCTACCAGAACCATGACTGTCATATTCGAAATATTGCTGTATTGACAGATTCTTGCTTGTCTGTTATTCTAGGATCTGTTACAGGTCCATGGCAATTACTGTTCATTTTCTCCTGGAAAAATGTTTTTTAAAGAAAACTATTGGTTGGTTGGGGTTTTTTTTGTTGTTGTTGTTGTTGTTGTTTTTAACAAAAATACTTGATAGACCTTGGGCCAGGAAAGAAAAAAAAAAAAAACAACTTTGTTTAGCACCTTCTTCAGTGATTGTATTTAGTGAGCCCAGGAGGCTGTGAGTTACAAGGTGCTAGATTGTGTGCACAGCACTGTCCCAGGGCTTTTGGCCTTTCTGGGCAGGCTCTCCATGCAAGGCAGCCCAGGGCTCCCTCGCAGTCACACTAGGTCATTCTTAATGAGGGCAGTACCTGATGCCTTTTGTACTGTGGTAGATAACTAGCTCCTAGTTGGATAAACAAGTTACTAGACTGCCAAAAGGAGTACAGACTTCTTTTGTTTGTTTGTTTTTCAAAATAATCCTTTTTGCAAAAAGAGATAGGATTGAGACAGAAGGGATATCCTCAGATGTATTCCTGGGAGGGTCTGCCCTGTATCTGTGAGAGCTCAGGGTTGCAGTTTTGGCCAAATCCGTTTTACAACACTGTAGAGACTCCTTGTGTGATGCATTACATAGCCTCGCTGACTTTGCAGTTCCCCAGAGGAGTTTACCCACTTCGGACTCTGTTTCGTGCCCTGGTAGATCTGGCTGTCCTTACATTGGTAACTATCTTGCCTTAATCACACTTTGAGCTACATACAAATAATTTCTTGCCAGATTCTCTTCCGAAATCATTTAGGATGCTGACCCTCTAATTCAGTAAGAGCATCTTGTCTCCACCTGCTGTGTCCCCTCACTCCTTCACCCACTGTGCTGATCGCCCTCCTTTCCTGCAAGCATCGTTCCCAGGAAGTGGCCTCCTGACTTTCGTCCAGTTGTTTGAAGGGAGCGGAGACCAACAGCTGCCACACAAACAATTTGTCCAAGAGAACCGTGCTCAGAACCTAACCATTGCAGCCATTTTAACACTGATAAAAAGCTGAAGTTACTTTAGCATTACTTATTTTTCCCATTTGATGGTTCTTGACTTTGTAAAAAAATTAAATAAATGAATGTCTATACTTTTATAAAGAGTGAAAATATATGACTTGGAAAAGATGATATTATCAGATGCTGTTTAGAAAACATTTGTCTTGCATTTCTTTATTTCTAATTATCTAAAATTCAATAAAAGTTTATTCATATAAAATAAGTTGTCATTATAATACTAATGAATATGTGATTTTTCTGTCTGGTATATCCTTTAAGTTATATGCATTTTTCCATTGTGTTAAATAAGATTCATAATCATTTTAATAAGCATATATGATATGCTAAAAGTTATTAGCCTTTTTCCTGTTATTGGAAATTTCAGGTTGATTCTAGTTCTCACCCATATGACTACAGACCTAATGACTCTTCACACATCAAGCTATTTTCATATTTCCTATTCTGAAAGCTTAGGAAGACAGGGTCCATGCCTGCTTTTTGCCATTGAGTCCCCATCACCTACCACAGTGTCTGGATGAGCATTAAGTGGATAAATCCTTGGTGATTTCTGAACTGTAATTGCCGTACCCTGAGCATGATTATAGCTCTTGTTGTAGTGCTGTGGGTTGGAGAATTTCCTTTGTTTGAATTTAAACATTTTATTTTGTTTAAAAAAAGTTGAGAAGCAGACAGAGAAAGAGAGTAAGCTCCCATCTGGCGACTTATTCCCCAGAAGCCCACGGTGACCAGGGCTGGGTTGGGGCCAGAGTCAGGAACTGAGACTGCAATCCGGGTCTCTCATGTGGGTGGCAGGAAACCAGCCACTTGAGCCATCACTGCTGCCTCTGAAGGAGGTCTGCACTGGCGGGCAGCTGAGTCAAGTGCTGGAGCCAGGAATGGCACCCAGGCGCTGCAGGGTGTGATGTCAGTGTCTCAGCCACTTGGCTAAATGCCCATACCTCTTTACTTTTAACTTTTTATTTTGAGGTAATTATACATTTATATGCAGTTATAAGAAAGAACCCAAATACCCTTCAGCTGATTTCTATGGTAACACCTTGTATAACTGTTGTACAGTATCACAAGCTGACATGGATACAGTTCCCCAACCTTATTCATGTTTCAGTACTTGTGCACGTACTTGTACACACACATTTAGTTAATACACAGTTTTATCATGTAGATTCACATGACTTCTCCACACTCAAGATGCAGGGTTCTTTGTGCAATTATTTGATGATCACAGAGACTTCCCTCCTCTTTAGGTCCCTAATCCCTGACAGCCACTAATCTTTTGAGGATTTTCTTCTTTTCACTTGGAGTAATTTCCTTAGATCCATTCAGATTGTTGCATGTGTCAATAATTCATTCCTTGGCCGGCGCTGTGGCTCACTAGGCTAATCCTCCACCTGCGGCGCTGGCACTCCGGGTTCTAGTCCCGGTTGGGGCACCGGTTCTGTCTCAGTTGCTCCTCTTCTAGTCCAGCTCTCTGCTGTGGCCCTGGAGGGCAGTGGAGGATGGCCCAAGTGCTTGGGCCCTGCACCTGCATGGGAGACCAGGAGGAAGCACCTGGCTCCTGGCTTTGGATTGGCGTAGCGTGCTGACCGTAGCAGCCATTTGGTGGGTGAACCAACAGAAGGAAGACCTTTCTCTCTGTTTCTCTCTCTCTCACTGTCTTAACTCTGCCTGTCGAAAAAAAAATTCATTCCTTTTTATTGCTGAGGAGTGTTCCATGGTATGGATGTACCACAGCTTTTTTTTTTTTTCCTAACTATTTCCTCATAGAAGAGTATGAATGATATTTGATTCGTTTCCAGTTGGGAGCTGTTATGAATAAACTTGCTTTAACCATGTGTTTGTAGGTTTTTGTCTGAACATGAGTTTTAATTTCTCAGGATTAATGTCTGGGAATAGAGTTGTTGGGTTCCATGTGGCAGTTACACATTTAGTTTTGAGAATGGCCATACAATTTTACATTTCTGCCAGCAAAGTTTGAGTGGCCCAGTTTCTTTGTATCCTCAGCTGTATTGAGTACTGTTAGTATTTTTCATTTTATCATTTTGAGAGTTGTATGGTGATATTTCACTGGGTCTTGAATTGGTACTTCCCGAATGACTAATGATGGCAGACATTTACATGTGCTTATTTGTAATCTCTGTAGCTTATTATGTCTCTTCATGTCTTTTGCCCATTCTCTGTATTGTGTGGGCTATTTAAAATTTGTTTTAAGAATTTTAAAATTTTTATGAATATTGTAATACCGACACATGTTTATGGAGTACAGCACAGTATTTTACCTCTATATAGTATAAACTGACCAAATAAGACATTAGAATTTCCTTTTTTCTATGTTTGGAGCATACCAGCTATTCTCTCCCAGTCCTTTTAATTATATAATATGCTATTATGAACTGTAGTCACGCCTCTGTGTTGTGAAGCCTTCTGTCTTTCTATATCCATCTTTCTGTCTACCTGAGTTTTGGTACCCATTATCTACTAATTTTTATGAAAAAATGTTTTATCTTAAATAGGTGTTGAGTTTTGTCAGATGCTTTTTCTGCATCTGTTGATATATTCTTTTTCTTTAGCCTGTTAAGCTGGATTATGTTGATTTTCAAATGTTTAGCCAGCCTTACATTACCTACCGTAAACCCTGGCTGGCGTGGTATGTATTTCTCTTTTAAGATTTATTCTTTATTCATTTATTCAAGAGGAAGAGCTACAGAGAGTGACAGAGAGATCCTCATCTGCTGACTCACTCCCCAAATAGCCACAATGGTTAGGGCTGGGCTGGGCCAGGCAGGAGCCAGGGGCCCGGAGCCCAAGTCCTCAGCCATCCTCTGCTTCCTCCCCAGGTGTGTTAGCAGAGCCCTGGATAGGAAGCACAGCAGCGGGGACTCAAACCAGTGCCCACATGAGATGCCGGCACAGTAAGTGGTGGCTTAACTTGCTATGTCACAGTGCCGACCCCAGGGTATATTTTTTTTAAACTGCTGAATTTGATTTGCTATTTTTAAGGAAGATTTCTGTGCATTACTTCATAGAATTCACTAGTGAAATCATGTGGGCCTGGAGATTTCTTTTTTCAAAGTTTAAATTATTCAGTATCTGTAATGGTTATAGGACTTTTCAAGCTAGGTACTCCATATTGATTGGATTTCAGTAGTTTGTAGTTTTCAAGGTATTAATCCGTATTTCCTAGGTTGTCAGTTCTATGAGCATGTGGCTATGTGTGATATTTCTTTATTCTAATTGGAGGAGAATCTGTAGTTCATAGACCTTATTTTGTTCTTGATGTTGGTGATTCTTTATTTTTTTTATTTTTTGTCTTGCTAGAACTTTGTCAATTTTACTAATTTATCTCAGAGACCATTTCTTTTGTCATTGATTTTCTTTTTCTGTTTTCAGGTTCATTGATTTCTGCCTGGTTTCACCCTTGAAATGGCTTTGGGTTCATTCTTTTCTTATTTTCAGAGTTTGTTGAAGAGGGAACAAAGATTATTGATTGAAAGCTCTTCCTCTCTCCTAACATAAGAATTTTAGGGTTATGATTTCTCTCTTTCACTCCCACCTGCCTCCCACATATTTTGACATATTACAGTTTCATTTCATTCACTTCTCTGCATTTTTTAAATTTTATCTGTCACTTCTTTTGACCCATGGGCTATTTAGAAATGTATTACTTAATTTATAAATTATTGGAGGTTTTCTTAATTGTCTTCCTGTTAATTTTTAGCCAGACAATATTATAGTCAGAAAACATGCTCTGTATTTTAATATTTGCAAAGTTCTTAAGGTTTGTATTAATGTCCTAGGACAAGGTTTCTGTTGCGATGTTTTCCATGTGCTCTTTAATAATTTTTATTCTGGTTGTGGGCATTTGGCCCAGCTTAAGATGCAGGTTAAGATGTCCATTTCCCGTACCATAGTGCCTGGGTTTGATGCCTGCCTCCAGCTCCTGACTGCAGCGTTTAACCCATGCGGACCCGAGAGGCAGTGCTGATGGCACCTGTGATTGGGCTCCTGCCGCCCATGTGAGACACATGGTTTGAGTTCCTGGCTCCGAGCTTCAGGCTAAGCCTAAACCCAACCCCATTTGTCACAGATACTTGGGGAGCGGGCCAGCAGGTGGGACCCCTCTCTCTGTATCTTTCTCTGTCCCTCTGCCTCTCAAATATAAAAAAATACATATATGAAAACTGTTTATTCTACTGTTGTTGGGTTGAATGGTCTGTGTATGTCAATGAGCACCTATTGGGTGATCGTGCCGGGAAGTTTTACTCATTACTAATCTAGTAATTCCATTGTTCAAACTGAAGCGCTGAACTGCCCAACTATAATTGTAAATCTTTACATTTCTTGTTTCCCCTTTATCAGTTTGCTTCTATGTTTTGAGGCTTTTTTGGTGCACATGTATTTAGAATTACTGTGCCTTCCTGGTGGGTTTATCAGTAGGTAATATCCCTCTTTGTTTCTATAATTTGTATTTGTTCTGAAGTCTATCTTACATTAATTTGTCCATTTATGCATTTTAAATGTAATGTTTGTGTGATACATGTTTTCTTTCTCTTTCAACATTCCTATGTTATGTCAAGTTGAATATCTGTAGACATCATATTGTTGGATGACATTTTTGTACCCGCAATGTCAACATACATCTTTATCGGTATGTTTGGACCACTTAGATTTATAGTGATTATTGATATGTTAGGGTTTAATCTGTCATTTCATTTTTTGATTTCTGTATTTTCCTCAGTTTCCCTCCTCTTACCTTCTGTGGATTGCTTACACAAATTTTGGGGTTTCATCTTGATTTATTTGGAGTTTTTCCCAGTACATTTCTTTGTATAATTTTTAGTGTTTGTTCTATATATGAAAATTTGCATATGTTACATGTCACAGTTTATTTGTATCAACATTTTACTACTTTGCAAGTGTGTAAATTTGATCCTATACTTACATTAAATATATTTCCTGAGTAATTTTTATTTCGATAATCAAATATAGTTTATAAAACTCATGTAGAGAAGTCCATTTACACACCCATGCTTCTGTATTTTTGTTACTTCTTCCTGACTGTCTGTGTTTCCCTCTCCTTTCTATCTGAAGGATTCCCTTTAGCCAGTCTTTAACTGTGGATGTTCTAGCAATGCATGCTGTTAGTTTTCCTTTGAGAATGCCTTTCTTTACCCCTTCATCTCACTGAATATTGTATTCCTGATTCACAACTCTCTTAGCACTTGAAAAAATTGAGGATATGTTCAGCCATTATCTCTTAAAATATTCTTTCAGCCCTTTCCTCTTTCTCACATCTTTTTGGAACTCTGATGATGGGTCTTTTGTCATTGTCCCTGTTCACTTTCTTCAGTCTTTTTTCTCTGTGCAGTGCAGATTGAGTAAATTCTATTGATCTGTCCTTTAACTGATTCTATCCTCTGTCATTTCTGCTCTGCTGTGGAACCCATCAAACAATATTGAATTCAGTTACTATTTTTTTTTCAGTTTTATAACTTCCTTTTCCAAACATTAATAAGTTTAATTATACTGAAATGTAATTTATATGTCATAAAGTTCATTCATAAGTGGTACACTTACAGTAGATTTTAGTATATTTATAGTGCTAAACAAACATCATCTCATTTTAGGATTATTTTAATTCCTCACTAAAGAAACCCGTGCCCACTAACAGTACCTCCTTATTTCATAATACCTTTAATCTCAGGCAACCACTAATCTGCTTTCTGTCTCCATACATTTGCTTGTTCTGGACATTTCATATAATTGTCATAGAATGTGTTCATAATTCATATCGATACATTTTTACTATCACTTCTTTAAAAACCTAGATGCTTCCAATAACTGATTCATATTGATGCTGGCATATATATCTATTACATATATATATATGGCATATATCTTTTCTCCCTGAAGTTGTGATCTGGTTTTTGGGATAATGAATGATTTTTTTGAATTTTCTCTTTGATGTTTTGAGCATTATCAGATCCTGGATCCCTTTTTAATGTAATTTTTGTTATTGTAGTGTACATTCTCCCTTGTTGGTTATATGTTTGGTTTCTCATTAGGCTCTATTGTCAGCACTCTGTCAAAAGTAAAAAGCTAGCTCCTCTCTCAGCCCTGTTTACATCTTAAAGTGGGGCACCAAACTGTAGCTTGTAGTTGCCTCCAAGTAAGGGTATAAGCTGGGCCCTGGTGACACTCAAGAGGAAGGAAGTTAAAGCCTTATTCACACCACTTGTTGCTAAAGAGTAGAAGCAGAAATTCAGTTCTGTGCTGCCTTACTGACACCAGTGGGGGGAAGGGAAGGGGGAGGAATGGCACCTTATTCAGGCCTGTGGATGGCAGAGGAGGGTGGAGGCCCATCGTCCCATTGACTAAAACTAGGAGAAGGGGAAAGCTGAGTGTCCCCTCTCTATCGTGAGTAGAGGTTCCGAGCCCCACTGGTGGTATCCCAAGTTCCCTATGCGTCTACTCTTCCCACTCCTCAGGGTCTTCCCATATTTGCTGTGTTCTGTCCAATCTGTTGCTGTTTTAATAGGAGAGACTATCTTACACTGAAACTTATGATGGGGTTATTCTGTGTTGCATGGAACCAGTCATACTGGATCATCACTTTTTAAAATAGCCATTTGTCAGTTAAATCATACAGCGTTCTATTTGGGAGCTTCAAGAATTCTTAATTGTGTATTAAAAACTTACTCCTTAGCATGACTCATTCAGTTTCTTCCATAAATATTCCACTCGTCTCAACTTCCACTACTCCTCTATCTGCAAACTGGGCTCCAAGCCTGTTCACCTTCCTTTGAACTGACTGTTGAGTTTTTCCTGTTTCCCAGCTATAACTGCCACCTACCATTTTCACCCAGATCTTCTTGTACTGCAAGTCCAATTTAAATACTCTATGCTTCATAAATCCTTTCTTTTTGAGTCTAGTAAAAAGTGACAGCCCCCTTGCACAAGGTCTAGCCTTTACTACACACAAGGGAATTATCACAATTTATATTGTATTTCTGATTAGTGCACATGACTGATGTCCCCTGCTAGACTGAACTGAGGTACTCTACAGCCATCTTTGATCCCTAACTGTGTTGAGCACTGTTGCGGGTATAGTAGATACAGATGGTGAATTTGTCACAATTGCTGTTCTCAGGATCATTTTACAGGGATGGTGCTGACCTGTAAGTAAATAACTGTAAGCTCCAGTTGATATTTATTCAAATCCAGGCATGCTGGATTATTTCTTCTACATCTTGGTTGTGGTCCTAATACTTAGCATGTTGCTTTATTCATAGAAAGTACCTGAAAAATGTGCTAAAATCATGAACCTGAAAATACATATGATTGTTAAAAGTAGCAGGAAAATACCAGATAATTCTCATAGCAAGGTTGCAATAGAATTGTTTACCCAGATGGTAAATGATTGCACCAATTCCTGGGTGGATTTGATGTTACTTTAGAGATTCAATATTCTTTGGAAAATAATAATATTGAAATAATATACTAAACTCAATGGTTTAGATGAATCTTATAGAATTAACAAATTTTATGTAAAAATGTTAATTTATATTATTTTGAGCTTAGTACCCAGTATGTACTTTAAAAAATGTAGATCAAGTATGAATTCACTTAATCTTATCACAGTTCTACATGGAAAATATCTTTGCTCATGTGTTAGAAACCCAGAAACTTAGGCTAAGTCAGTTAAACTATTTGCCCAAATAAGTAATCTGTCAGTTATTTTTCTTAATAGACCCCCTGTCTCTGAGTATTGGGAAGAATAATCCAGAGTCCTGGCAGTTCTGCCTTCTAGTATCCCCCTTTTTGACAAGTCATTTAACCTTTAGAAAGTAAAATAATACTCAACCTCACATCAAAATGCTGCGAAGGTAAATGCAATCCAGAGAAAAAGGTGACTTGTAAATTTTGTGTGTATATAATTATTTATAGCTTTTCTTCACAGCTCCTGTGTGAAGAAAGTACTATTTCCCTGTCTTAGGTAAAGGCAGGACACAAAATTCTGACTTAATCACAAGCTGTTAGTGTCAGAGGGAAAATCAGTAGACGAAGCCGTAAGTTAGTACCTCATGTGTGGTTAACAGTGAGTTCAGTTGCTATCTGGTTAATTTTTGTAGATCACAGCACTAAAGTAGATAATTAGGCCTATAACAATTTACATTGAAGGTACACTTCTGTATCACTAATTGCTCCCCAAGATCATCACAGTTTCGCATTTGGGACCTAGACAAAATCATGCCCATTTGTATGTGTATGGAGTTTTAATTTTCCATTACATTGGACAAGTCACAAAATTCTGTTTTCTTGTACAAAATAGGATAATAGTGGATCCCTTTGAGGTTGTGAGGACTACATGTAACAATTCACATAAAATGAATGACATAGCATATAGCTGTAGTAAATACTCAGTATTTGCCATTAGTAGAAGTTCAGATGCGTTGCATTTCTAGAGGGTAGCTAAGGCATTTACAGGCACTAAACATTCCATCTCTTTTGGCGAGTTATGGCTTATAAAATAGTTCTTCAGGACTCTTGTTTAGCAGAAAGGAGAAGACTCAGTAATTACTGTCTGCCCATATGGTCCACTGCTCTTTTTCCTCACATTTTAACCTGAATTAGCACATTAATGTCCTAATTACCATCAGTTTTAAATCACTGAGAATTAAGAATGTGGGGAAGCATTGCCATTTATGGAGCACCTGCTGTATGCCAGACACTTTGTGTGTGTTCTGTTTAATCCTCACAACACACTTCCAAGTTCAATAGTATGGTGATTTTACAGAACTGTACAGGAAACCAAGGCATACACAGGTTAAGTCCCTTGCTCAAGGTCACAGAGCCAGAAAGTTGTAGAGCTAAGGGTTTTGTTCACCCATTGCCACGCACTGTCACTCCTTGAAGATAATTAATACATATTTAAAATCTTGGTCCTGCCTCAAATTCAGCATGGCGTAGAGAGAATTCTTGATTCCTTCTAGGCATTCTTTCCCCATTTTTCTTAAATTATTGAAGAAAATGTTCATCTCTGACTTCTAGACCATTGCAATGATTTTTTGCACATAGTCAAACTTCTTGGGTTTTCCTTTTTAGTTCCTACACATTAGGGAGTCTCACAGCCTTTTAATTCTTTCATGTCAGTTTCTTAGGGCATTTGTAATTTGCATAAAACACCACTTCTCTCATTCTGCAGTCAGAACGATTGCCAGAGGAGGGTGAATTTGAGGAAATTAGGTGGGAAGTTTTGAGGGAAGCAAAGAGGTCTGCGCATCTGGAGGAAACAGCTAAGAGGAAGGTTGCCTTGGGGCCCCTGCTACTGACAGGTTAACAGATAAGCTCCTGAGCCTCTCTGAGGCTATAAAATGGGGGTCACAATCCCCACTTCTTAGTTCTGAAGATTGAATTACGTAAGTTCTTAATAAATTGGAGCAATTATTTCATGGTTCTGAATATTATAAGGAGAAAGAAAGCTTGAATTGGGAAAGTAGAGAAGATCCGAGACTCACACACAGTGCAATCCTCCCTCTTCACTTTGCTTCTCCCGGTAGCCCAGAAGGCATGGCTGTGTCCACTCCAGCTGCATGGGACCACTCCTTTGTTAGGATCTAGGGATACATGGAGTTTTCTGAGCTCAGTCCCTTTAGTATGGAGCCCATAACCGCAAATGCACGCAGCAGTTAAATAAATGGGGAAATGGGCCTGATGGGAACATGGTGAGCTGGAGACTCCTATTTGGATTAACTGCATGTCTGTGAGCCCTCATGTGCCTGTAGTCCAGAACTTAAACTCTCTGTTACAGAACAGACTCGTATCTAGGAGCTCCATGTGTTCATCCAGCCTGGAACTCTCCCCTTCTGAGTAGTATCTACCTGATGCCTGGCAGCTGTATGCTGGACACTGTTCTGTGTACTTTTCATCGATTCATTCATTTTAATCCACGCAACAACTCTATGAGGTAGGTACTATTATCCCGTTTTACAGACGAGGTCAGTCACTGAGGCACAGGGATTCTGTAACGAGCCCGGAGTTACATCATAATGGCAAAGCTGGAGACGGATTCAAAATAGCTTTGCCCTACTTGTCTCTAGTGTTTCCTCATGTTTGTGCTTCCAGAAGAAGAAAAGGTGAATTTTTGGTTCTGTTAAAAATTGCAGGAAGATCTCATTGATTAGATCAGTACAGCCTTTTCTCTTCGAAACAAGCTGGCCTTACATTTGGAAAGAGGAGGAAAAGGCTGGACTGTCTTCTGGGTCATCCCACAAGATTCTTCTGAAGTAAATGGAGCTGAAAGCACCCATTGTGTAAATTCCCGGACCACCCTTCCCCCCAGCAAGATGTTGGGAGCAAATCTCGAGACTGCATAACTCTACAGGCCTATAGAGGAAAACTCTTCATTAACAATGCATTGATTTGTGACTGCACTGTTATAAAAAGAACAGCTTTAATAGAGGCCTTTGCAGGCTCTATTTTTTTTAAGCTTCGTGTTTTTGGTTACTTGTAAAGCACTGAAGAGGAATTAACTTTTAGATGGGTACAAGGACTTTTCAGATGTGTTGCTGCTAGCACTTTTTTTTTTTCCTTGAACCTGAGGGTGAAAAGAATGATAAATTTCAGGAGGATGATCAGGAAAGGGAGTTTTTTCTCACTTGATGGGGCACAGTTTAAAGGGAGAAAATCTTTCACCTACCTCAAACTTTAATTATTCCATATGATGAAAATTAGTCATGTCTCATCTGAAAAATAAAGAGAACATTTGCTATTTTAGTCTTGCATGAGAAAAGATGTTATAAATATGTTTATGAGAAGCAAGCAGAGCTGGGTAGAAATTTTTGCTCATATGGGAGGGCTTGGGTTTTTGTTACTCCCATCTAGGAAATGAAAACGTTTTCCTGAGTCTCTACCATATGCCAGACAGTCTATACATGAGCTTATTTATTCCCACTTAAGCTCTAGGAGGTAGGTATTATTTACCCTGAGTGCTGGAAAGGCAGTCATCCTAATTCCCTTCTGATTTCATGTCCTTCTCTGCCCCCAGTCACTGTGACATCAGAAAGAATCCATCAGGATGATGGAATAGGGAGAGAGCTTACTGTTCTAGTCTAGGGGGAGATAGTTTAAAAAAAAAAGGACAGAGTGCATTCCCAGGGTAGAGTTAGGAAGAAAATAGCAGAGGAAACTCCATGCAAATTAGAGGGACACTGTGGACCTATGTTGAGGGTGTGGACTCACACAACTCAGGACCCCAGCAGCTGAGAGACTCAATACCACTTTTGGAGAGTGAGGTGACACCAAACTGCAGCAGACCAAGTCACTGGTGAGAAAGCTGTGGGAAGAGCCTGATTTGAGTTTGGTTTGAAGCCCTGTGGGGGAAGGTGTACCTGCCAAGGCTGGCGGGGGGGCATGTTTCTCTCTCCCTGACAACCTGGCACTGGCATCCTTTAACTAGCCAAGAGAGGCTGGGTGCCACTTTGGACATACATAACAGCTGTGCCAGTTCATGTCTGTGTGCCCAGCAACCAACTGAGAGGAGATGCCCAAGTCAAGGCTGGCAGAATTGACAGGGGGCTGGCTGCTTGTGACTGTGGGAGCCTTGTGCACCAGGATTATGAAAACACTGTGGCTGCGTGGGAGTGTGCTAGGGTTGTGGCTAGGACTTAGGGCAATCACTGTGTGCAACTCCTAATGCTTGGAGCTCTCTGATTCCCTGGTGAGGGTCATTGCTGCAGGATCTGTATTCACACCAAGGACTGCACAGATCCTTTATGTGGTTCCTGTGGCAGTACAGATGAAAATTGTACCCACTAGGTCTAGAGCCCAGGCATTAGCCTCCATTAAAGAAAGGAAGTGAGCATGAAACTATGCCAAAAGAAAACAAACTTCACTTCCTATGAAAAAGAAGATTTACCGCACCCAGACTCAGATGTCAGTTTGGGCACTCCCCTTACCCTGGAGCACTGAACAGAGCTCCCTGACCACACTGAGCACAAGCCTCTGGGTATTCACTGAATGAGCAGACACTCCACCAAGCCACAGAGGCATAGTTCAAAGATAAAAGCCATCACAAGGAAAAAAAAAAAAAACAGTATTGCCACAAAGGCCTAATTATAAATGCAGCAATTCAAGAAATAAGAATAAGAAAGACAACATGATGCCCTCAAAAGAACACAACACTTCAATACTAGAATGTGAAGATGAAGAGATTAATAAAATACCAGAAACAGAATTCAAAAAATAGAAGTAATTAGCATTACTTCTAAGCCAATTAATGAACTAAAGAAAACAGTACATGATATGAATTAAAATTTTACAAATCAAAAAGAAATATTGGAAATGAAGAATTCAATAGAACAAATTAAAAATATGGTAGAAAGCCTTGCAGATTTGGTGAGGCAGAAGAAATATCCAAGTTAGAAGACAAATCTCTGGAAATTTTAGAGTCAGACCAAAAAAATAAGAAGAAATTAGTAAACAAAAAAACAAAGTTGGAAATTTATGGGATACTATAAAACAACCCAACATATGGGTCATGGGGGTTCTTGAAGGCATGAAAATAGAGAATGGATTAGAAGGCATTTTTGATGAAACAATTACAGAAATCTTCCGTAATCTGGAGGAAGAAAGGGACATCCAAGCACAGGAAGCACAGAGAACTGCTAATAGACATGACCAGAAAAGATCTTTACCATGACACATTGTAGTCAAACTCTCCACAGTAAAACATAAAGAAGATTCTAAAATATGCATGAGAGAAATGCTGGCTTACTCTCAGAGGATTTCCAATTAAACACAGCTGACTTCTCATCAGAAACCTTATGGGCTAGGAGAGAATGGAGAGGTATATTCCAAGTCTCAAGAGAAAAAAAACTGTCAACCCAGAATACTGTACTCTGCAAAGCTCTTGTATATGAATAAAGGTGAAATAAAGACCTTCCATAATAAACAGAAATTGAATTTGTCACCACTCATGCACCCTTACAAAAGATGTTTAAGGATGTGCTACACACAGAGACACAGAAACATGAGTCATTACTATGAAAGAAGGGAGGGCAGAAAATCTCCCAGTAAATGTACAAACGAAATCCAAAGTAAACAACAGGAATATTTATAGCAAAACGGCAGGGGCAATTCATTACTTATCAATAGTCACCTTGAATGAAAATGCCCTCAACTCTCCAGTTAAAAGATAAAGACTGGCTGGATAGATTAAAAAACAAAGCCCATCTATTTGCTGCCTATAAGAAACACATCTTGCTAACAAAGATAAATGTGACTGAAAGTGAAAGGTTGGAAAAAGATATTCCATGTTAACAGAAACCAAGAGCTGATGTAGCTATCCTAATATCAGACAAAATAGGTTTTATCATAAAAAACTGTTATAAGAGACAAAGAAGCTCACTACATAATGATTTTTTTTTTTTAACTTTTATTTAATGCATATAAATTTCCAAAGTACGACTTATGGATTACAATGGCTTTCCCCCCGTACCGTCCCTCCCACCCACAACCCTCCCCTTTCCCACTCCCTCTCCCCTTCCATTCACATCAAGATTCATTTTCGATTATCTTAATATACAGAAGATCAGCTTAGTATACATTAAGTATGGATTTCAACAGTTTGCTCCCACACAGAAACGTAAAGTGAAAAATAATAGATGATTTTTTAAAATGATGATGAAATCAGAGCAGACCTATTGTCATGTTTAATCCCAGTGAGAGTCAAGTTGGGAATTGATAATTTCTTTTTTTTTTTTTTTTTTTACAGAGGATCAGTTTAACTACATAATGATTAAGAGATGAATTCAACAGGAAGATGTGACTACTGTAAATATATGTGCACCTAATTCCAGGTCACCTGACCATTTAAATGTTAATGGATCTAAAGGGAGACATAGATTCCAATACAATAATAATGGGGGACTTCAATACTCCACTTTCAGCAATGAACAGAACAACCAGACAGAAATTCAACAAGGAAACAACAGAGTTAATTGACATAGACAAAATGGACCCAATGGATATCTACAGAACTAGTCATCCTACAGTTGCAGAACACATATTCTTCTCACCTGTGCATGGAACTTTCTCTAGGACAGAACACATGCTAGGCCATAAAGCAAGTATCAGCAAATTAAAAAAAATCATGCCATGCATCTTCTTGGACCACAAAGCAATGAAGCTGGAAATCTACAACTCAAGAATCTCTAGAACATATGTAAGCACATGGAGACTGAACTGCATACTCCTGAATGAACAGTGAGTCATTGAAGAAATCATAAAAGAAATAAAAAAATTTCTGGAAATGAATGAAGATAAGAATGCAGCATATCAAGACTCATGAGCAACAGCAAAAGCAGTGTTAAGAGGAAAGTTTATAGCAATTGGTGCCTACATCAACAAATTGGAAAGGCACCAAATAAATGAGCTATCAATGTATCTCAAGGACCTAGAAAAATATCAGCAAACCAAACCCAAAACTAGTAGGAGAAAAGAAATAATTAAAACTGGAGAAGAAATAAACAAAATGGAAATAAAAAATACAAAAGATTAGCAAAACGAAGAGCTGGTGTTTTGAAAAATGAATAAAGTCAATACACTGTTGTCCCAACTAGCCAAAAAAAGAGAGAGAAAAGACCCAAATCAATAAAATTAGAGATGAAAAATGAAATGTAAGAACAGACACCACAGAAATAAAAAGAATCATCAGAAATTATTATAAAGAACTGTATGCCAACAAACTGGGAAACCTAGAAGAAACGGATAGATTCCTGGTCACATACAACTTACCTAAATTAAGCCATGAAGACATAGAAAACCAAAACAGACCAATTAACCAAGACAGAAATTGAATCAGTATTAAAGGCCCTCCCACAAAAGAAAAGCTCAGGACCAGATAGGGTCACTGCTGAATTCTACCAGACATTTGAAAAGAGCTAACTCCAATTCTTCTCAAGCTATTCAAAATAATTGAAAGGGAGGAAATGCGCCCAAATTATTTCTATGAAGCCAGCATCTCCTTGATTCCTAAACCTGAAAAGATAAAACAGAGAGAGAGAGACCTACAGATCAATTTCCCTGGTGAACATAGACACAAGAATCCTCAACAATATACCAGCCAATTGAATCCAATGACACATCAGAAAGAACATTCACTGGACAAAGTGGGATTTATCCCAGGTATGCAGGGATGGCTTAAAATCGCAAATTAATGTGATACATTTACAAATAGAATACTAAAAACCTTATGACTATCGCAAAAAATGCAGAGAAAGCATTTGATAAAACACAACACCCTTTCATGTTAAAAACTTAAACAAATTGGCCTGCGCCACGGCTCACTAGGCTAATCTCCGCCTTGCGGCGCCGGCACACCGGGTTCTAGTCCCGGTCAGGGTGCCGGATTCTGTCCCGGTTGCCCCTCTTCCAGGCCAGCTCTCTGCTGTGGCCAGGGAGTGCAGTGGAGGATGGCCCAAGTGCTTGGGCCCTGCACCCCATGGGAGACCAGGAGAAGCACCTGGCTCCTGCCTTCGGATCAGCGCGGTACGCCGGCCGCAGCGCGCCAGCCGCGGCGGCCATTGGAGGGTGAACCAACGGCAAAGGAAGACCTTTCTCTCTGTCTCTCTCTCTCACTGTCCACTCTGCCTGTCAAAAAATTAAAAAAAAAAAAAAACTTAAACAAATTGGGTATAGAAGGAACATTCCTCAACAAAATCAAGATAATTTATGATAAACCCATGGGCAGTGTCCTATTGAATGGGGAATATTTGGAAGCATTTCCACTGAGATCCAGAACCAGACAAGGATTCCCACTCACACCACTGCTATTCAAAATAGTCCTGAAAGCCTTAGCTAGAGCCATTAGGCAAGAAAAACAAACTGAAGGGATACAAATTGGGAAGGAGGAAGTCAACCTATCTCTATTTGTAGATGACATGATTCTATATATAGGGGAACCAAAAGACCCCACCAAGAGACTATTGGAACTCATAGAAGAGTTTGATAAAGTGCCAGTATATAAAATGAATACAGGAAAA